GTATCAGATACAAGAGGGTGCAACAGATACTTGTATTCCACTAATTAAACTTTCTGTCTGTGTGTTTTTTCTTCTATTTTTTATTTTCTATTTTTTCTATTTCTTTTTTTATGGTAGTATATAATAATATATAATCATCCTTGCGTGCTTCGTTCGTCGTTGTGTGCTTTGCTTGCGGACTTTGTTGCTCTTCTAATACGCGTATATGCTTGTGGACTCTTGGTTTTCTGATACGCATTTCTACCAGTGGACTTTGTTGCTTTGCTGATATGCGTTTCTACTTTCAAACTTTGTTTCTATTGTTACGTGTTCTATGGTATGTGCTTTCACTGCTTTGCTATGTTGCCTAGTGCCTACATTTTGTCATCTTCTTTTGTTTAGGGAGTAGATGAAGTCATCGTTTTAGTTTTTTTTTTATAATAATATTAATATTGATTTATGTGTTTCATAAACACTAATATATTATAATTATGTTTTGTTTTGAATTTTTGTAGCTTTTAAAATTTTTTTAATATTTATAATTAATATAGACTATAATATTATAGTAAATAAAAAGATGTATAGTAAAAAAAATGTATTTGTTTAATATTAATTTATTATAATATATAGATAGATTCACAACAATCAATAATATGTTTGGAAGGGAGTAAACAATTTAGATACAATCTTTAACATTTGAAAGATAGAGAAGAAAATATAAGTTGATGTTATAACTATTGTGAAAGAAAGTATAAAAATTTCATATTTTAGATGAGTGGGATTTCATTTATTGAGAGAAAAAAGAAATAAAATTGCAACTTATTTAAAAGTGTCATGAATATCTTACAAAAATGACACATTTGACAAAAAGGATAATGAAAAATTAAAATTTGGGTAAATTTTCTTATGTATTGGAACTACAATTTTAAATTTACTAGTGGATAGGAAGAAAAGAAGACTATCAAAAAAAGGCATTTAATAATTAAGTAAGTGAGAATTTAATTAACATATAAAATAGGTAAGCTATTTTATTCAATTGTTTGTCATTCTTCGTTGTTATTTAAGTTGCAAATACTTTTATCTTAAATATTTTTTTTTCACAAGCTATAATGTTGTAAGAACTAATTTATTCAAAAGAGAAAATGCCAACATATTAAGGCTGCTTTAATATATAAAAGACACTTGGCTAGAAGAAAGTATAAGTATAGTTACTAATGGTTAAGTTGATGCACATTATTAATTGATTTTATGATAACCTCATATTTAGAATTGATATTTTTAAAGATTGTTGTGGGTCTAGTGAATACAAGAACAAACATAACATTGTCAATCTAATTTTGTCAATCATTGATGAGGTTGGACTACAAAATATTGTCCAAATAATTACTCATAATACCTTTGTTTACAAGATTGTAAGTTTAATTATTGAATTTATTCATTCTGATATATTTTGGATACCATGTGTAATGCACATATTAAATCTTATTCTCATGAATATTTACACATCAAAAAAAAAAAATACTGAGACTAGATTTGTGCATTCTAATTTATTGGCTATTATTGATACTAGATTTACCTCACTTGTTATGATGTAAAAGAAAATGAGAATCATTAAGCAATGTCTTCAATCCATGATAATTAGTGAACACGTCACACTATAGAAAGATGATGTCTAAGAGGCTACATTTGTGAAGGAAACAATTATGAATGACTTTTGTTTGGATCAAGTTTATTACATTTTAAGCTTTACAAAGCCTATATATAATATGTTTCATTCTTGTAATATTGATAAGTCAAGTCTTCATCTAGTTTAAGAAAAATAAGATTTTATGATTGAGCAAGTAAAAGTGACAATATATCAACATTCAAAAAAGAAATTAACTCAATATTTATCTTTTTATGAAGTGGTATACAACATCTTAATTGATAAATGAACTAAAAAGTTACACATCACTTTATTAGTTGGCTCATTCACTTAATCCTAGGCAAATTTAATCAATGTCAAAATTATTTTTTTTATTTCAAGTTTCAATTATGTTAAAATTATAATTCATGTATTTTTGTAATAGGTATTATTACAGACAATAATTTGAAGAAGATCCAAATTGAGTTCGTTCGCAAAAGGATAGTGAGATTTGTTTAGGAAAAAAGAAATATTTGAAGAATTATTTTTCGGATTCAAAGAAAATGGTAGATGCTACTACAAAACTAATTTGATTCCTTGAGAGATAGGTGAAACTTACAACCAAAGGAATGATGGAACATGTATGAAGCTGCAATTCCTAAACTTCAATCCATCACCTAGTAGCTCATTTCACAATTATGTTCTTATTGTTGTAAGAGAAACTGTAATGCATATTTCTTCATCTACTCCTTGAAAAGAAATGAATTAAATTCCAAGTTAAAGGTTTATTCTTTATTCATTCAAATCTTTGTCTTCTTTCAATGAAGTATAAAAATTATAACAAGAATGAGACCAAAATATAAGATATTAGTGGAATGAATGAGATCAATTCAAATGAGATAAAATTCTTAAAGTTGTTAGATTTTCTCTTGATTATCCAGATTAAGAGATTGTTCTTTTTACTCATGATGGGTAAGAAAATAATGAAATTGAGACTATTATAATATAATTTCATAGTATATATAAGATAGATTTTGATGAAAAGGATTAGATCTAAATGAAAGATTGAAAATGAGTTTTGAAATGTATTTTAGATTTCAAATTTAAAAATATTTAAAACATTACCAGATAATCAAAAGAAACTCGTATTCTATGCACATTTTAAAAGCATACATTGGAGAACACAATTTTAATCAAGAACATAAAACATTAAAATTTTGGATATAAAAATAGCATGCATAGAAAATGAGAGAAGAGTCGACCAAAATGCTATTCAAAATATAGATTATATATTTAATATTATAAAGAGGTAAACAACATGATACAACTAAAAAAATTATAAGGTAATAATTATAAAAGTTCTTTTTATTAGAAATGTGAAAGAAGAGTATACAAAAATAATTGTACGAGAAATTGATACCTCATAAATTTTTTTAGAAAATAAATTATATATTAGGAAATGCAAGATTTACCAATTCAATTATTTTATTAAATAAATAAATTTTATAAAATTTTATATTAAAACAAAACTGATAGATATTTCATCGTATTATTATATTTTAACAAATAATGTGTTTTAAAATATGAGTAAAAGTAAAATTTTGGATAACATACTTACAAATATTTAAATTATATAAAATTTTACATAATTATAAAAATAATATAAAATTATTCAATATTTATATTAATTATTCTTGCATTTTATAAAAAGTTATTAAGTAGTGTAAATATAAAATTAAGAAAAATTATTTAAATATTATTAATAGTTAATTTATATTACTTATCATGAATACTTGCTATTACCACTAATTATTATTATATTATTGATTGATCGTAGAAAATTTTATTGAAATATAAACTATAATTTCATATATCTTTATATATATATATAGAAAGATTTTCTTACATCAGTATAAATTTAAAAACTCTTACATTTAATCTGAACCTTTCATTTAACTTAAATCTAATGACCAGTGAAGTAATATAAACTGATGTTTTGATTATTGATTTAATGAAATATTTTTATATTATAGTAAAAATAATTATTATAACATAAATAAATACTTTATTATTTTAGTTTTAATATTATAATTGAAGTGTACTATTGTAGTAACTATTATATTTATACGTATGATAATTAAATAATATATATTATAATAGATGATAAAAAAAAGTGTAAAAAAATAAATAAAATAGTAATCAAAATTAAAATTTAATTTTATAATTGTAAAAGAAAGACAAAATATTAACACAAGATATAATCAACATCTTTATTATTGTTATTATTATTATTATTATAACTTTTAAGTTTATTCAGAATAAAGAGAATGACTGGTTTTCTGATCAAATTACATTGATTTCACTAGATCAAATGTTTAACCGATATATAACACAATTCATTTTTACGTCGTTGACATTTATTTTCAAATGAGTATCATGCAATGAATACATCCGGTTAATTGTAAAAAGGGTTAGATGCTTGGCAATTAGATATCAGTATCACTGTCATTAACGTAGAACATCAATATATTGGATTAACGTACCCTACAGCTGTTCGTTCTCCTAAAAAAATTTCTCACATTGTTTTACCAAATGTTTGGCATTATTCTTTCAATTGATAACATTGGTGAGATTAATTTATAATACTTTTCCTTCTCCATCGCAGATTAAAATCCTCAACAGTTATAAAAAAATTGCATGGGATCTCAATAATTTAAATTTAATATTTGATAATTTTAAGATGTAGAAAGAAGTTTGTTTGAATGGAAGGGTTCCATTTCCCTTCAATCTTGATCAAGTCACGGTGCATATTGTTCATGATCTGCCCGGATTGCATATGGTGCAACAACTGTGCAAAGCTACATGCTGCCTATGTTTGATACGGTCGGTTTTGGTTCTTCAAAATGAATATAATATAAACCCTACCTTATTTGAATAAATCTAATTTTAATCGTCCTTTAATCAATTCTTTTTAACACTCTTGTTTGTAATTGATCATTTAATAAAAAAATCAATGATTTTAAAAAAAATTATAAATGGATTACCAAAATAGTATTAAAAAGTTTGTTAAAAAAATCTTGGGTATCTAACATTTATCTTTTTAAAATTCAACTAAACCTAACCCGAACAAAAGTAGCCAAGTTTCGACGTTTATTTCTCCTGAACTCGACTGTTCATCCCTACATTCTACTTTTACTTACCAACTTATTGACCCCTTTATTCAAAATAAATTACAAGCTCAGGTCATGATGAAAGGACTTAATTATTTCATAATCAAGTGAAACCCATGAAATACCCGATCAACTCAGATGAATATTGAAGAACGTGCTAATGAAGTTCGATGATAGTAGGCGACAGCAAGTTAAGGAAGCCACTAGATTATCCCAAGACAAAACAAGAATTCAAAATTTTGCTAATATATTGAAAATTAACTCTTATTTGTACATAAGGAATCCCGAATTCTGGACCATATGTGGAAAAATATGGTTATATCTAGCAAGGAAATTTCTACAAACTTATATCTTGCAAGGAAATCAAATTTTACCAACGAATATTTGAAGATATATTCTACAGCAAATTATCTGCAGTCAGCAGTAGAATAGTTGAACACTGCATCAAACTTCTAAGTTTACAGGAATATTAGCTTAAAATGCTTACCATTAGTTGACCGAGGAATTAAGATTTAGGCTTTTTAGGGGTATCCGAGCTTGATGGCTCAGCTTTCCTCTTAATTCCTAGAAAATGCTCTACCTGACACGTTAAAAAAATGATGTTAGGAACAGAAACATGCAAAAGCTACATCATGAAACTCAACTCATTTAAACACGCCGTAAATTACCTTTCGATCACCAAGCATAGGTGTCAAGCCCCCAGGAAGATCCTTTTCAACAGTTGCAAAACCGCTTTTTGGGTCACTAGTTTGTCTGCCAATAAAAGAACAAACACAGCCACAAACATCGGTATATCATCTAAAAAATACGAGGAAATGGAACCAGAAAGGATAGAAGCAGCTACATAGAACCATGCTTGCTACGTTTTATTTCTTTTTGATATTTTCAAAAAACATGCACAATCCGGTACAAAAGCTTTTGTTTGGCACAAAGAATTTTAAGGGGAAAGGATGGTGCACCATTCCAATACAGATAAAGCCACTGGGCTCGAAGGGCAGTTACAGCAAACTTACATTTAATATCCTAGGGACTTACAGAGGTTGCCTGCCATCTTGGCAACAATCTGCAAGACATGACAGTCCTATAGTGGTCAAAGACTCAAACCAAAACAGGAAGGGGATTGTTTTAAGCAAAATGTGATTTTACTGTATATTGGAATTCAAACACAAATCATCACTTTCATAACCATTGATGAGCACTGATTTGAACTAAGGATACCCAAAATAAAAACAATTTCCATGACAGCATTTTTCACAAACCAACCCAAACGATATTTTTGTGGCAAGAAGTGAAGGCTGAAAGAAGGGAATGATAAGATGTGAATGAAATGACGGGAAATGGACTACAAATCCCATCATGACAGATGGCAGAGATAAGGAATCTGCTAGAATAATTAAAGAAGTTATATCCACAAAGTAGCCTGCGTCTTATTCTAGATAACAGTCCTAGATAATGATCACTATATGCACCCTGGTGCCATAAGCATTCGATGTTAAGAATCAAGAGTCATCACTCCAAAATGTAGACATGACATGAAAAGAAAGTACAATGCTTAAGAAGAGGGAAAAGATATAGTCTTAGTTTTAGAAGCATGTCCCCCATTGCAACACTAACTTTTAACAGCAAATTGTGAAATGAATGATGCTCCTAGTTTCTCATCTCATTTAATTGTATGTAAACAGTTTTCTAACTAAAACTTTGAGAGTTATTAGTATGTAAAGTTAAAAATATATACCCTGGTTTAACATGGCCACTAAGAACAAGATAGGGTGTCTTCAAACGAGCTTGAGCTTCCCTCATTCTCTCCACAGAGAGTGATGGAGTATCTGAACTCTTCATCTGCTTCATCTTCAATTCTTCTTGGTATTGCTTCATACGCTTTTCTTGCTTCATTTTACCAGGTCCTTTACCATGGAACTTATGAGAGAGCATCCGAAAGGCTTCCTTAGGAGTCAACTGGAAGCAGCATAAGAACAAGTCAATCAAGGATAAGTGATTTTCCACTACAATTCGAAAACTGAAACTTGGAAATGATACTAAACTTGATTAAAAATTAATTTGAGGCAGTGTCAATTTCAAGGATCAATACCATTATATGTTATAATCATTGATCATCCAAACCCCCCCCCCCCCACACACACACTATAAATATCACAAGCATGCAAAACATATATTTATACATTTTTGGTACTCTTGTATTCAAAGCAAACTCTACCTATAGTCTTATAGCCAGTTCCAAGTCTGAGTAAAGGAGGAGGGCTGCATTAGGCCCTCAACAGTTAATGTAAAACTTGTTGAAACTCATACATGGATTCTATTCCAAAGCACAACACAAATCAACTTTCCTTTTGGCAATTAGAAGAAGACACACCACACACACAGGCATAGCATATCTATATTCTTCATGCATGTTTATGTCTCATAAGTATTCTTTTCAAAGGCCAAAATGACAATGCAGTGATCATAAATAATATAATATGAACTTAGTGCCATATAAAAACCAAAATTGAAAAAAGAGGTATGGAACATAGAAGACTTACAATTCTCCCAAATTCATCCGTCCTCTCAATGCGAATCTCCTTTTTCTTTTGTGCTTCTTTCTCTTCATCATCGACAATCCCAACCAATTTGCTTTTTTTCTTGTCCATGTTTCTGCCACCCCATTCAATGCTTTCTTTAAGTGTTCCTCGGTCTTTAAGCAGTTTCAAAGCACCTGACAATCCTTTCCCCACAGCAACTTCATGAATAGTTTCATCAGGAACTATCTCCTCTTGGTCTTCTGAAGTGGGTTCTTCATCGTTACTAACTTCTTTAACTTCAGTCCATCCACCAGCCTCATTACTCTTTTCTTCATCAGGAACATTAACCTCTTCGTCATCTTGCATGAAAACATCCTCACTTTCTGGTTTCCGTGCTTCTGAAAAGTAGAAAGTAATATACCTTTGTCATAACTTATACCTACTTATCAGCTTCCCCTTTATGTATTTTATGGACCAACACTTCCAATGAGCTAAGAAAACATTGTTTATAACTTTATATGTCAGAATACCTACTATATTTAACACAAAGGAAAAAGATAACATCACATTTGAAATATTATTGTGCCATTGACATAGATGTCAATAAGAAGAGTACAATGGAAGTAGTTAGGCCCAAGTTTCTTAAGATGGTATCAGAGCATATTTTCTCTAAGATATGACAATACCAGTTTTTGATTGAGCTACTACAATCCCAAGGAAAGGCCCAAGTTTCTTAACAGAAGTAAAGATTAAAAAGAAGATTGCCAAAAGAAACAACAAAATTCCAGCAATCCAAATGGGAAAAAAAAGGGCTGATTCATTTTTACATTTAATCAGGCAGTCACACTTTGTAATGCTCAGGCAGTATATTTCATTACATCAGACAACCACAAATAATTAAATAAAAACTTACCTTCATCAATGTGGAGACCCCAGACAAATTCTTCCATCTCTGTGAAGACCACCTTGTTCTCTCGTGACTCAGCAGCTGTAGGGTTTTGATCATCATTCTCATTATTATGACTTGAGGTGGCAAGCAATGCAATAGCTTGAGGGCCAGATGCCCCTTCTTCCTCCTGCTTTTTAAGAGCTAATCTTCTTGCTTTTTCTAAGGATTTACGAAGATCCTCATCATCATCTACAAAAACTGGAGTTTCATCTTCCTCTGTTTTAACATTGTGAGTTTGTTCCAGGCGCAGCAATTTGGAGGCTTCATCTGCTTTAGCATAAGCAGACTGGTAAGCATTATTTCTCATCTCAGCCTCCAATCTTTCTTGCTCATCTTTGATGGCTTGCCTCCTTACATCTTTCCGAGAACCAAGGTCACTAACACCCAATCCTGAAGAGATAGCTTCAGCTTCAAGGGCATTGATGTCCAGCTTATCTTTCTTGCGCAGGGACTTTTTCTTCTTGGGCTTCTTAAATTGTAGCATTTCATCGTGAGTATAGTAATCTGATGATACCTTTCCAGACGAAGTTAGATCTTCAAAGGTATTTGTGGAAACCCCTGTTAACCGTCTTCGCAGCTAGTAATGTGGAAAGAAAAAGAAAAGATTTCCCTTAGAAAAAGGAAAAAAGCAAAACACATGAACATATGCATGTAACCAAGACAATTCTGAGGAACAAATTTTGAAAATAAAAAAGTCAGAGGAAAAGAATAATAGAAAGGCAGTCACATAAACAATGATATGACACAATACTGAATATTCTGATCACAAAAGCTCAAACCCAGAAAATTGAAAACATCTTTTACTTTCTTGGAAAAATATTTCTTAAAGCAAAAGAAAAGCATAAGCAACCTCTTCAAGTTTCTTCTCAGCTTCACCAGAGAACCGTCCCCTTTCATCCAAAGTTAAACCCTGAATAAAAGAATCTAATGAGTAGAAGCATTAACAAAAAACTACTTTACTCAACATCTGTTTCTTTGGAATGTATCAAGAGAAAGCAGCAAACCTCTTCTGTCACTGGATCATCATATTGTGGAAGTATTTTCTTCTCCAAGGAGGGGTCATCATTGAACCTGAAATTGAGAGAACAAGCTTCATAAGATTTCTTTATCCTTCATTAGTTGGTTTTAGTTTTTATTTCCATTATTTCAATAATACATAAATAATAGTAATGAATAATGATCATCTTACTTATCATCATATACACCAGTTTTCTTTTTTGCAGCTTGATATGCCTCATCTCGTCGTTTTTGTTCTCCAATTTCTACATTCTCAAGCATATCGACATCTGCCACATGAGAACAAAAAACTCTTACAAAAATGTGTCAATCATAGACTTCAAACTTGAGTAATATAAAAAGTGCACCAAGCAGTTCTACCTTCATTAATATCACCATCAGCAAGTATGGGCTGATCTTTAATAGTCAGAACTACTGTCCCACCTTCCATAACTTTATCAACACCATGAAGAACTTTCATCCCCGCAAGGTTATCTGTCAGATATTCAATATACAAGTATAGTTTACGAACCACATTATCAACAATCAAATATAGATTCATAACCCACCAAAGAAATAACTTAAATACCCTAGGCTGCTGGATAAGTTTAGGGTTTTAACATAAATTTTTCAGGTGGAACTGGATACCAATATTAATCAGGTTGTGTGTCAATCATAGTTGTCAATGTCAGATAGCAGTGGAGTGGTCGACTCCACAACTGATATAGCAGTATAGTGGATAGCTGAATGGCCACTATATTGAAAAGAATGGGGGAAATGTAAATAATTTATATTACACAAAAAAATGCTCAAAAAAAATTATATTTAAGAACATATTCATCACCACTAATCAAATGTTATAGTCTAACACAATTCCCATTAATCCAAGGCATATATAATTGAAACCTGAGCTTGGAATGAACAGAAGGAAATGAAATTACACAACTTAATCTGGGGTTATTTATGTCAAATTCAAACAAGTTAATATTAAATATACCACAAGGAAATGAAGCCAGCTAAGTTCAAACAGAGGGCAGAACAGAGGCCTGAGAAGTAGACCATGAATTAAATAGGGTCAAGTAATCAGCAATTGGTTGGGAAAAGGGGGCAAACTGGCCTTAAATGCTGGTTCTGGCTGAAAGTGCAGGGGTGTGTGTGAAGAACAGAGCTTTTGCACCTTGGCCGCTGGGTTTGTCAAATGGTAAAACTAACCCTAGAGGTTCAGAAGCAGTAAAATGTAGGAAATCCTAAAATTAATCTTAAAATAAGCTGGCTAATGAAAACAGGAATAAGCTGGCTAATGAAAACAGGGGTGGGCCAAGATATTTTGCATATTGTGTACTGACAGCTATAGCTGTGAATTTGCATTGAGTGTCCTTGATTCCACTCCACAAAACACTCCTCAAGAAGCCAACCTTTGCAGCCAGTAAACTATGTTGGTGACAAATTGACAAAACAGCACTACTATCTCCCTTCGCCAACTATGGTACATAAAATCTAAAATTATTGCAGTCTACATGGATGACACAGTCATCACAAGCAGCAATCAAGTTGTTACTGTAGAACTTAAGCTTTATCTTTGATAATCAAGCCAGTTGCAATCATTTATGTGGCCTAACTCTTTTACTTCTACTTAATTTAAGGCTAAATTAATTTGTAGGTCCTATAATTTCAGTAGATTTTTAATTAGGTCTCTACAGTTTAAAAACTTTTAATGAAATCCTTATAGTATAAAAAGTTTACAACTAAATCCTCAATATTGAGCAACTTGGTTTTATAACAAAACCTTGTTTCGAAAGATGCATTTATCTACAAATCCATAATTTCCCAGTGAAATACAAAGGTGTGCAGTAATAACTAAACCACTCAAAAGAAAGCAGTATGCTGCAACTTTAATCGTTTGGCACTGATAGATTAATTGAATTAGCCAATTTGGTTTCTTAACCATTTATAGGATACATGCCTGATTCAAAATCTTACTATACACCAATAGCTTAATCCCAAAGGTTTAACAAAAACAAATAGAGACTTCACTGACAATCAAAAGACAAGAAAAGAAAGAGGATTTAATATATATTGACCAGTCAGTCCAATAACTTCTACACAAAATTAGTATGGACTTTTCCCTTTTTTTCCAGCAGATATTCCCTAGTTCGAATTTTGGCATATAAAGATCTAGATGTTGATTTTGAAAAAAATAAATAAATAATTAAGGCTAAACAAAGTAAAGGGAAGAATTAACATTTCTGATAGCATTCCCTCTTTGCCATTCTCAGCAATCTTGGATACTTTATTAGTCCCAGATTTAAAGGAAGCATTTTCTCTCCCAAGGTAAGGGATTTGGAAACAAATGCATTTTGGAATCTTGAATTAGTGTTTGGGCCTAACGCAATCCCAAAATCTAGCTTGTAGGGTGAGGATTATCTTAACCTTTTTAGCTCTATTGTAACCATTTTTGTACTCTATAGTCGATATGGGATCTCAACATACACCCAGGATTAGACATATGTAGCATGGATTGCACTAGAAAAGCCACAAGGCCAAGTAAGTTGCATGGGAAAATCCATGAAATCAAGTTAATTGCACTAGAAAAATCCATGGGATAAGGTTTTATTTTTTAACAGTTATGGGTGGCCCAATATCAAATCTACAAAAAGCTTTGATACCATCTTAAATTTGGTTGAAGCATAACTCGATCCCAAAAACTAGTTCATATGGTGAAACTCGCCTTAATCTTTATAAGCTCTATTTTAGTAATATTTGTAGTTGATGTGGAATCTCAACATGGAAAATAAACTTACGTGAAAAAAACATTGAGAGATGAGGGAAAGACGAGGGTGGAGGAAAAAGGCAAGAGGTTGCCACATAAAAAAACTTTGTCAACAATAGTAACCTCAAAAGTTTCAAGCTGCTCCTAAATTATCCCAAAAACCTCTACCAAAAAATTGGGTATTCTAGACAAAAAGTAAATTTCTTTGGGCAACAAGTGGAAGGGAGGATAAAGAAACAAAGAATTTTACCAGTGTGTTGGGCAGTATCCTCATCGTCACTTCCTTCTACTGCAATGTTGTCCTGTGAAAATTTTGATCATGTTGTATTGATTACATATCCAAATTGGGAGAAACAGTATCTTACAGAACATATTAAAGGTACAAGATAAAGAAAAAAAAAAAACCTGCTCCTCAAAAATCTTTGAGAGCTGCAATGCTCTTTCCTTTTCTAGCTTACGGCTTCTATTAACCCATGCAGAGATCTCAGAAGCAGCTTCAGATTGTTTATTTGTCCTTGCATCTTTCATCCTATCCAGATTTCATACTTTTAAGAACTGATTTCACATATATGGTCACAACAGAAATGGTTTCATACTTTTAACCTCAAAAATGTAATATTGAGAACTCATTCATCAAAATAAGTCAATACAATCATGGTAGAAATGCTAGCAGCAAAAAAGCCTAATGTAAAGAACAGTATGCTATCTTTGGATGGGAAGTAAGGAGGGAGTGGGGAAGACAAATTGTAACTCAAATTGTTTGGAGGGTTTTTAGGGATGCAAAGATAGAGTGGCATGTGTTCCTCCTGCTTCCACCTAAATGTGGGGAGGGGGTGTTAAGCAGGGGAAAGGTGTATTTCTAATTTTCTATTTACAAACTGTTTGTTTGTGCTTAAGGAAAAATTAATGTTTCAAAATTTTTTTAAAATAATTAGATGTTTTATAAAAGAAAATGAAAAGAGAAAACAGTTCACTGCTTTTCTCATATGCTAGAAAGAGTAACTTTTGAAAAAGAAAAGTCGTAATATTAAACTATATCATAAAGGAACTTCATTAGTAAAACATATCCAAACACGCTGAATAAAGGGGGAAAAACCTTCATTCCTTCTACTTTAACTTCAACTCCTAAACAATAGAAGCGGATTCTTTTCTTTACTTAAACATCCAAACAATGGGAAGTAACTTTCTTTCCACCCCCCTCCATTTCCCTTCCACAGTTCCACTCTGCTAGAAAACTTCCAAAATTACTGGCTTACATATGGACATGGTTACTTATGAGGCTGATTGTCATATTTCATAGATCTGGCTGACTCACAGTTATTGACATTGTTACTGTATTAATTAATTTTAGATTTCAGTGAAAGCGGAATTTTAGGAATCCTCAGGAGATGTTGTATTTGGGCATGGGTTTTTATTTCATAAGGGGTTAATATTCATGTCCAAGTTTTCCTTGTGATTAGCAGTAGAGCATGCATCCTTATAGGATTAGAAATCTTCCTGGTAGGAAGAGTTAAGAGTGCATTTCTTTAAACAGTTTTTAATCCTTGATTTAGATTTTAGACAATAATGATGAGATCTATTAATCATGGCAACAAATTTCTTCTTGATTTTGTGGTACAATTAATGGCTAGCTGTGATGCTAGGAGGTACCCTAGCTAGGGGTGAAATCAGGTTTCCTTTTCTTCTTATTATCCGCTCTCCTATTTTCTTCTATCCTATTCTTGCAGGAAGTGTTTACGTTGGGTCTAGGCCAACTGGGCCTCCACTCAAGACATATCAAAAGAGAAAGGGTAAAATGGGAAGGGTGGATCAAGAAGCCGTTATGCGAGATTCTAACTGACTAACAAAATTAGCATAGGTGGCAAGGGAGGTACGGGGGAAATATAAGGAGAATGAATAGATGACAAAGGAGGGTTTTTGGCTGGGAGGTCATTGGGTGGTGGTTGATGCAGTGGGAGGGTCTTTAGTTAATTGCTGTATTCGGTTTTCCATTGTTATAGTTCCTTGGCTCTGTTTTTTTCTATTATAGCAGCTTGTAATTCCAGGGATCCTCCCTGTGTGAGCCCTATAATTTCAATCGAATACTCAGTTCCTAACAGTTTACAGCACCCAACTAATATTAACTTGAACCTTTGAACTATTCCAGGGCTTCCAAATCTCCTCACCTACACATAATATCTTTAACCTCCATTAAATCCCAAGTCTTTTGACGTCTTACATCATATCTTATATTTACAATATGCTGACAGCAAGAGAACATATAATTCAATTACTACAAAATATTTAAAAATTAAACAGAAAAAGGATACACTAATGAATCAAATGTTATATGCTGTGACCAAAGTGCAGAAATTATATCCTTGTCAATATAAAAGTGCTGGAAGGCCTACAAGCAACATATCAATATAGTGCTTATTTGGCAGATGCATGCAATGCAAGATGTACATATTACAATGTGACTACCTCAAATCATAATTGCAATACTAACAACACAGAAATAATTTCAGAAAAGAGTCTAAACTATCAAATATCCAGTGATTATATGACATCAACTACCAGCCCCCACAATTTAAAAAATAAAAATGATACATAAAATCATTCAAAACTGGAAACGAGGTAAAAATATTTTAAGATCATCAAATCATTCATCTTATAAGCAACAATGAACAGAAAGAGTCCTCGACATTCTATGTAGGACCCCAACTTAGATAACCTTGACTGAAGCATAAAGCAATAAATGAGAGTTCAACTTGACATTGCACTGATTGCAGAGTCTAGTTGTTAATAACACTACAAAAGTAAAAGACAATAAAGCAAAGATAAGAAGCAAGGATAATTTAACTTACTTCAAGATGCGTTCTTCAAGTTCTGTTGATGATACATGTGCTGATGTTTGACCATCTTGAACATCTTCATCGAGCTTTGAGTCCTTTGCTTGCTTGCCAATCTCCTCATCTCTTTGGTCATGGTAGTCCACTTTATCATCAACATTATTCAGTTCATAATCTTCCTCATGAGTCTTTCTGCTCACTCGATCTCTTGACCTTTCTTTATCTCGATCAGTCTCCCTCTCCTTCTCTCTATTTCTATCTTTCCCCTTATCCTTGTCCCCATCTCTATAGCTTTCCCTCTCCTTTTCTCTATCTCTATGCTTCTCTCGCTCCCTTTCCTTCACTTTATCCCTTTCTTTCTCCCTTTCCCTATCCCTACTCTTCTCTTTACCCCTCTCCTTCTCCCGTCCTCTATCACTATCTTTCTCTACCTCTCTTTCCTTCTCCTTACTCCGGTCCTTCTTATCTCTATCCCTCTCCCTATATTTCTCTCTATCATAATCCTTTTCCCTGGTCTTGTCTTTACCCCGGTCCTTTTCACGTTCATCCCTATCTTCTTTCTTCCGCTCCCTTCCCTCTTTTGAAGCATCCTTCAGCTGTTCCCGGTCCTTACTCCGGTGCTCCTTGTCACTCTTCTTCCTGTCCTTGCTCCTATGCTTGCTAGATTTCTCCACCCCATCATCATCATATTGCTCCCTCACTGGGGAATCCTCCTTATCATTTCTACCATCATACCGTGAATCAGACCACTCCACATCCATCAAAAACTAACAAACAAAAATCATTAAACTAAATCAATACCCGAATTCCACAAATAACTATTAATTAACAATAAAATCAAAGACCTATTCCATTCAATAGAACAAAAATGAAAAACTAACTGAATAAACTGAATTAAAGTAACAGCTCCTCTATTATAAACCTACATTCAAAAATTCTGAACTGAGATTCGAATAAAAAGTAACGAAAACATTTATCAAACATCACAAGAGCAGACACCAAACCCCAAGACAAAACACTGAATTCGAGATTTTAAATAAACAAAAAAAGAAGTGAACTGAAAAGCTATTTTAACCCCTTCATATGGAAAAAGGAAAGAACGTTGAGGATGCCCTAAAAATGTTAAAGTGATGAAGAAGAGAAAGGGTGGTGAATACAAGCAGTGATTTTATAAGAGAGAGAGAGAGAGAGAGAGAGTAGCACCTTCGTCTGAGAGCTTTCGAATTGAACAAGAACACGAACAAACCCAAACTTCCTTTTGCTGCAGAATTGTTGTGCCACTTCGCTCTCGACGCAGCGTTTTATCAACCAGAGGCAGAGGATGCTAGCTAACTGTGGGACTAGGAAAGCTAACAACTGAAATATTTTACTTTAACTATTCATTTCCTGCCCCATTGGTTTACGTTTAAAAATAATTAGTTTTTCATTATTATGTCAAATTACTTTTCTACATTCAATATTCAATATTTATTTTTAATTCAACATTGATATAAATTTTTCATAATTTATTTTTAATTTTATTTAATATAATACAATATTAATTATTAATAATTATAAAATTAGTTTTTAAAAAAATTTATTGAATTTAAAAATATTATTTAACATATTTTAAATTATTTGTTTTTTAATATAGTTTTTTAAAAGTATTTTTTATTTTTTTGTAAAAAATATATAACTTTTGTTGTAAAATCAAATTAATTTTTTGTAATTTCAATTTTTTAATCTATGTTCACTTTTCTTTTTTTTCACAACTTCATAGACTCAAAGTTTAATTCCTTTTTAATTTGCACAATTTTGGATATCATCCTTATTCTTATATATAAAAACTAAATTATTCTTTCACTCTTCATTTGATATACTCTTAGATCTCAAAATTTCATTAAAAAATTTAGTAAACTACTGAAATCTTTATTTTTTCCTTGAACTTTTACAAACTTTTACAAGAAAATTATGGGACCAGCCACTTTTTCATTGTCCTATTAAGAGCTTCTTTTACTTCCTACTCGAATTCTGTGATAATATGTCAAATTTAAATCTTTTGCTTGCATTTCTAATCATGTTATATTTCCATTTGCTCCTTGTCTATTTAAAAGTTTACAGGAATATTTCTCTCATTTGTTTTTGATACCTTCATCCAAAATAAAAACTTTTCATTCTTTATCCTAAGACATCTAACTTGATACAAATCTCTAGATTTTCTTTCTTTACTTTTAGTAAGTTTATGAATCATTCTTTCATCATACTTTGTCCTAAAATTTTGATAGAATCCTTCAAAAGCCTTAAAATGTGCTTCACTCACTACTTTTCTTATTTCATTTCTTCTATTCCAATACCTTGTCCAATTTTCAATATTATTACATGTATGCAAAATTTTAAAACAAATCCTCTTATGTCTAATCTTCTCTTACACTTTTATTCCACCACTATAAATCTTTATCTTTTGATTCAAAACCTCTAAATTCACCTAAAATTTTCGTGGCAACTTATCTTACCTTTGTAGTCATTCTGTCCTAAATAATATTAGCATTACCTTATGTCACCTAGCTACCCTGTAGAGTGTGAATGTCTAATTAAGCATACTTGCAAGTGTTTATTCTAGCAATCTTGTTGCATTCAGCCAATTTCGAACCCCAAGGTAGTTACTTCCATTTGTGATCATGCTTGCTTGGTGCATTTTGCTGTCATAGGACTGTTTGATACACTGTCAGTGCACTTCTAATACAGTTCTTGCAGTTTTTAAACTATCCAATTTCAATACCATAGTTCTCACTGTGTGGATGCACTGCTTTATTGCTCTTTGGTTAATTAAGATTGTCATTCCCATTTCACTGTTGTAGACTAGAATTTGAGAACTGCACTGCCTGTGCTTGAACATTTCATACATAGCAATATAGTGTCGATTCTATTATTTGCAATGCATCTGTCTGATCAAAAGGGATTGAGAATTGTTATTTTGTTTAATTTGTGTTCTGTGTCATTGCTGCATTATAGGGTACCTACTTTCATTTCTAGTGGTGAATATCTTGCATGTTTGATACAATAGGGACTGATTTAATTTTTCACCTGCATAATACTCACAACTTCACTGCAATTCACTGCCATTAGCTACAGCAATTAGTGTACAGGCATGGAATGCACTTCATTCACTCTGCATTATTCTTGTCCGTACTTAATACATGCATTTCTGCCACACCCTCACATTCTCTGCATTGTTATGATATTGTGTTGCTGCATTTCTGGCCCTGACTATACCCTGTTTAGCTTACTTAATCTTTGATACACCCTGCATACACACACACACACACACACACCTTTGCTGATCTTTGTTGTTCCAAATTAATCACTTTCATTTTGTTTGTGTATACATTACTTTAATGGAAAGTAGCTAATTAGATTACCTCACACCCTTGAATAACTTCTTTATCCAAGTTCACACACATTTCCTTATTCATGTTAGTTGCATAACACCATTGTTCCATTGCACACATACACATTTCCATTCACGTTTGTAGATTAGACTTTGAACTGCACTGCCTGTCATTTAAATAAGTTTCTCTTAAAGCTGCAGTGATATACGTACTAGCCTGTTACACTAAATTTGGAATCCTATCTTTATTACACTAATTGTGTGTATTCCCTGCATCAAATTCATCTTGCTGCTACATAACTGTTGTGTCTATTTCCACACCTTTATGTTGTCGTGCCTATTATTTCATTACAGCACACTTTATGACTACCTTGCTCCCTTTTAATCTGAATTTCACTTTGTTTGCCATATACATCTGTTGTATCATATCAGTGTGCATCCAACTAAATATTTATCCCTTTCTTTTTCCAGCAATCATAGGCAACACACCAAGGAAGAACACTCCAAGGTCCAAGAGAGCCAAAATAGTTGGTGCATCTTCCTCTGCACCACCACCTAACCATGACCCCAGGTTTCGGTCATTGGAGCATGAAAAGTACTTCAAAGCAAACATTCTGAGAAGGAAATTGGTGCAGGACCGCAATTTTGAAATTCAAGAAGGCGCCTATCCCCAATTTGAAGAGGAGATTCAGAGGAGGGTGGGACCTTTTCATGACTTGTGCTGGTAATGAGTGGAAGGAAATCACCCAAGAGTTCTTTGCCAATGCAATGAGGGTTAAAGGCGACACTCTCCCTCCCAAACACAGCATGGTGAGGGGAAAACTAGTCAATTTCACCTCCTCCAACATCCAAAGAGTTCTGAACATCCCAGCTATGCATAAATCAGCTGGTCAACTGGACTTCACCACTTTCAACATCCAAGAGGACAAGAACTACAAGCTTATCCTTGAAACCGTCTGCAAGGAGGGTGAGAATTAAGAATTTGACTGCAAGATACAGTCCAAGAACTTGACCACAAAAGTCTGGTGTGTCTTCATTCTCAGCTCTTTCATGCCAGTCCTCCACTCCTCTACCTTAGCAGTGAAGAGAGCAAAGCTGATTTATGCAATTCTAACAAGCATGCCTATCCATGTGGGTGAGGTAATCAGTAGTGCCATCATGGACATATTGAGCAGGAGCAGAGATTCCATGGATTTTTCATCCATCATCACCATGCTATGCCAAGATGCTGGGGTAGATTTTGGAGACTACCTGCAAAAAATCAGAGCAACCTGCAAAAAATCAGAGCAATCCCTCCTATTTTTGCTGCAATGGTGAATGACTTCTTCAAACCCAAAAAAACTGCTGACCCAGGACTATCCCTACCAGTTGATTACAGGAGGGACACTTCAATAAGGATGAGGGAGCAGATGAAGTAGCTTGCTCTGAGGCAGGACTCCATTCATGCTGGACAAAAGGCCCTCATGACACTTATGGACACGATGCTGGTAAACATAGGGAAGAAGCTGGGGATGACTACCACGCAGCTTTATGATGCCCCTACCTTCAGTGCCCCTTACCTACGAGCAGCAGTCCAGAGTGATCTTCCACCCTTTCCTCCTACTGCCCCTGCCAGAGCTAAAGCAAGTGAAAGCAGCTCCAGTGCCTCAGATGAAGACTTCCCAGCAGCAGCGGAAGATGATGATGATGATGATGATGACTCTACCTTTTTCAGCTCTAATGAAGATGCTATTTAGTCTTAATTTCTTTTTCACTGCACTCACTTTTCACTTACTTTCTGCTATTTCCCTGTATTTATTGCTAACCACCATTTCCTTGTAATTATCGCCCATTACTATTTCCATCTTTACTGCTTTACTTTCGTATTATCACTCTTAATCTAAACATTTCTGACATTTTCACCTATATATATATATCTATTCCATTTTCTGGTTTCATATTTGCTCCCTATACTGAATTCTGTGTATATTTGTGCAGAAAATGCCCTCAGTCCCATCAAGAGGAGCATGAATTTGACCCTTAGTTGTGATTCTACTTTCTATGAAAGGAGGGTGATCTCTTTGCCTCTGTTTCCATTGTTCTTAATCTAATTTTCTTGTACATGTTAAATGAAAATCCAAAAATATTTTCCTCATCTCTTCTACTTTAGTCTAATTTTGTAATTCCATAGTTATATTCTACTTGCATTTCCCATTCAACTCATGCTCATTCTCTGTTTTTGAATATTATCGTTCTTACCATGCTGCGCATATTTTCTTGTAAGGCAACCTATGATCACATGTTGTTAAGTAATTATCACCTTTACCATGGTAGAGAATTGAGCCTTTAATTTCTTTTGTGTGCACTATAACATGTATTGTTGCATCTATCCTCTAGAACTTGTCCTGCTTCTTAATTGAATATGCATTGTGCAATCTTCCATCTAGATTATTGAGGCCATCTTTGTACACACCCACCCACCCTTCAACCCCTTTTGCACCTAATTTCCCTTGTTTCATATTCTATCTGTTGCCAAACTTAGTCTGCAAAAATATTTTCTTTACCTTAAGAAATATATTTCTTTTGAGTTGCATCAAGAGTGAATGCAATAAACTAAGTTTGGGGGTACTGATTATAATTGTAGTTGCTTGAAGACAAGCAAACTCTTAAGTTTGGGGTGGTGAGCATTTTACATGTCAATATTACATGTTAAAAAAAATATGCTTGAATTTGAAGAAGAGAATGATTATCAACGTCCATAAAAAAAATGATGATGATGAATAAATGAATGAATGAAAAAAAAAGAAAAAGAAAAATACAGCAAGTTATTTTGATAGAAAAATGACTCTCCACATAAGGCAAAGTAAATGAAAAATATGGTGAAAGAGTGCTTGAATCTCACTTGTTGCATCATTTAATACATTCCACTCTTAGTTGTTGTACTCACTCACTCAAAGGAATTCCCTCCTCTTAAAAACTCACTTGAGCTTTTAACCCTCCTTGATCAAAATTGAACCTAACTTAATACATTTGTGACCAACAAAGTCCTATTGATAAGTGGTTCATTGTATCTAGGCAAAAAAGATTGAAAATATGCGCAAGCATATGGTAGGGTGAGGCAAAATGCATGAATTGAGGGAAAACACTTAGCTTGAAACATTGCTGAGTAAAGAGTGAAACACCATCCTGTGAGCGAGATAATTTCTTTGCACTGTGTGGATTGCATGAAACCTTGCTGGATTTTTGCTTCAGTTTAGTGGAACTTTACTTGAAAATAATTGATTTGGGCATGATTTCTTTGTTGAATGAATCAATGATTTTGGAAATATTGAAAGTGTCAATTAGAGTCTGATCTTGGAATGAAAATTTTGAAAGAAAATTTTTGGATAAATCTAACCCCCTTACAAGTAACTTTATTGAATTTTGATTTGCTTGAGGACAAACAACAGTTTAAGTTTAGGGTTGTGATGAATCTACATTTTATTGGATTTTTACTTATCATTTTAATGTTTCTTAATAGAAAAAGTAAACTTAGGAAGTGTAAATAACATAAAAACATCATTTTGGTCTAATATCATAGGTTTCTTAATTTTTGGTTAATTTACATTGATTTACATAGATATAGTTTGCAATTTTGATCATTTGAATAATTGTGCAGGAATTTCTAGACTTTTTCCTGGATTTTTAGCATTTGAGAAAGTTGGAGATGAAAGTAATCACTTTGGATCCTATAGTGACAACTACAGAGACCCATTTTGAAGAAGTGTTGCATGTGCTTACTTTGAGACCATAGTAGACATTCTGGAGCAGACAAAGTTATTACTCTGATACCAAAGTGACAACTCCAGAGAGGCCAAAGGCACAAGACTTGCGCGTAATTACTATAGGGCGAGAGTAACTACTATGGAGCACTGCGCATTATCATTATGATGCCAAAGTGATAACTCCAGAGAGGCCCAAATCACAGGACTTACGCGTAACCACTATAGAGCGATAGTAACTACTAGGAGCACTACGCGTTATCACTATGAAACCATAGTAGTTACTTTGGGCAAAAATTTCTGAACTATAAATAGGATTTGAGAAATTAGGGTACGAAGCTTTTTACATAACTTTAGATTCTTTTGCCACTTTGGGAGTATTTTGCAGAGCTTAGGATCCTTGGGTGACAGCCAAGGCCAATCTTAGAGTTTTATTTACAATTTCTCTTCATTTTCCTTTAATTCTTGCATTGATGATGTTGAATTTTCCTTGTTTTCATCTTGAATTTGTAAGACCCATCCTTATGGAGGGTTAAACTTTCTTGTAATCCTTAGTGAGTTCATGGATTCTTGAATTCTTGGGTATGAATGTCAATATAATTCCCTTTCCTTCATGAATTTACAATTCCCAACTCTTTGAATTGAATTAATGTTTGAATGAAGGGGACATTGCTTAATTAACCCTAATTCGTTTTAATGAAATTTTTAACTTGGTTTGCTTAATCCTAAGTTAGTTTCTAAGGTTGCGTAATATTAGGGAAAATGGTTGGAGCCCATGTAAATTACTTAATTCGTATGACTTTTTAAGGTTAAATCTTGCTTTATGAGTTACCATAATTCAAAGAAAGAGGAAAAGTATTGAATCTTGAGAGGGATAGGGATAGAATTACATGAACAAACTAAGGATTGCATATTTCATTGATTGGATTCATTAATTTTATTACTTGCCTTTATATTAAAATTGGAATCACACAAACCCCTTTGTTTTAATTGCTTTCATAGTAAATGTTTACAACATGTTCAATGTATGTTACAAACCAAAGTTATTGGAGACAACCTAGGCTTACATCCTAAACTACATAAATTTTTCTACATATTTTGATGAAGGTTGACGATAAATCTTTTTGCGAATGAGAAAATTTTCGTTCATCATTCCTCCCTAACCTCATTACAACATCGTTGGCAACAAATGGGTTTTTCGGTTGAAAAGAAATACAGATGATTCTATTGCTCACTATAAGGCATGATTGGTTGCTAAAGGTTTCCATCAACGTCCTGGTATTGACTTTAAGGAAACTTTCAGTCCTGTCATTAAGCCTCAAACCATTAAACTTGTACTGTGTATTGCTATATCAAAACATTGGACTCTTAGTCACATGGATATCAACAATGCCTTTTTGCATGGTACATTGACTGAGGAGGTCTATATGTCTCAACCTATTGGCTTTATTCATCAAAATTTTCTGAATCATGTTTGCAAGCTTCATAAAGCTTTGTATGGCCTCAAGCACGCTCCTCGTGCCTGGTACAATGAACTTAAATCCTTTGTTGTAGCTTATGGATTCTACAACTTCAGGTCTGATTCATCTCTTTTCATCTACAAGAAAGGTACTGTTATTTCATATTTCTTGGTTTATGTCGATGATCTTCTCTTTATTGGAAACAATTCCACCTTTCTCCTAATTTCAAGAGTACTCTTGCTACAAAATTTCCTCTTAAAGATCTTGGAACCCAAGTCACTTTCTTGGTGTTAAGCTTTTAATCACATCCAATGGTATTTTTCAACATCACTATATACGTGAATTATTACAAAAGACTACTATGATTGATGCTAAGCTTGTATGCACACCAATGTCTACTACATGCTCTCTTGGTTCAGTTTTTGATGTTCCGACATATGATATTTCCTCTTATCGCAACATTATTGGCTTGCTACAATATTTATTTATTATTTGCCCAGATGTAGCTTTTGCTGTTAATAAGCTTTCACAATTCATTAAGACTCCTATTGTTGTTCATATGCAAGTACTTAAGCGAGTTCTTCGTTATCTCAAGTGTACAATATCACATGGGTTGCACTTAGTTCCCACAAAACGTCTTACCCTCGACACCTTCTGTGATGCCAATTGGGCAGATAGGAAATCCACTAGTGCATACATAATTTATCTTGGCCCAAATGTCATTTCATGGTTATGCAAGAAACAGTCCACAGTTGCTTGCTCTTCAACAAAGGCTAAATATCGCACCATAGGTTCAACGACAATTGAACTTCTTTGGTTACAATAAGTTTTGCATGAATTTGGAGTTAATATTTCGTAACCACCAACTATCTTCTTAGACAATATTATTGCAAGTTATTTATGTGCCAATCCTGTTTTCCATTTACGGATGAAACATTTTGCTATTGATTATCATTTTGTTCGTGACCTTATTGCCAAGAATAAGCTTAATGTCTCTCATGTTCTGTCTAGTCATAAGCTTGCAGACTTGCTAACTAAGTCCCTTGTTGTCCCAAGAAACAAGTTTCTCATATCCAATATTGGAGTCATCGAATCCTCCTCCATCTTGCTCACAAGTTCAATGGTATATTAAAGGAAGGAAAAATATTCTCCGCTAGTAAAAGTTTCAATATCAAAGAACAAAAATAGATTTGGTGTGGTTGGAAAAAATTATTTCATGTTACAATTCTATGCCATAACTATTATGAAAGAATTAGACTACCATGATAGCATAATTCTTTATCACATTTTTTAGTGTAAACTTTGAATATATCTATTTATTACACCACATATTTTAAGTTAAGTTTAAATATGTCATTTTAAAATTATAAGTAAATAGTTTATACATAATATATTAAATAAATTTATCATAATATTTGTTTGGAAAGTGCAAATTAGATTCCATCCAGGTGGGCCTTACTTGAGTAGATATCACGTTTGCATCCATTATAGTAAACATCATTTTTTATTAATTGTTTTTTATATTTCTAGCCATTAGTTTATATTTTCTTTTATGTATTTTTCAATTTTTATATATAATAATTATGTAAACTAATTTTTTCTATAATAATAAAAAAAATTAATTTTTTTATAACAGTCTTATATTAATGTTACATTTATATATTCTTAAAATAATTTCAGACTTAATATATAATATACATTCTTTTACTTGTTTTTTAAAAAATATTATCTCATCCTTTAATAATTATATAGTAAAAAAAATTATTAGCAATTCTAAATTATAATTATAAAAGAATGATATATTATATAAATTTAGTTTAATAAATATAAATAAATACATAAGTCAAAAATTAAAGAATTTTTTTATTTAAATTTTATAACTCATTAAAAATTTTTTATATATATTTAATAAATTATTGTTATAATTATTTTTTTAATTTTATAACAATAAATAGTTTTATGAGATTATTAAATTTAAAACATAAAAAATATATAAAATTTACAAAAAATTATATATAAAGAAGTATTTATAATTTTTTCAATTTAAATATATTTAATATAATAAATTTTTATTATTATATATTATATTTAAATCATATATTTTTATTGTAAAATAAATAAATTTAATAAAGTAAAATAAATCTGTCGTACAAACATATTTATTTGTAAGATTAACAATATAAAATTGTTAACGATTTTTTTAATATATATTGGGTTATGATTTAGTTTAGTTATCCGAAAATTTGGACATTTCCGAATTCTAAGGATTTTATTTCATTTACTGATTGGTTAAAAAGCATTTGAATTTTCATACTAAAGAGAGAGATTTTGGCGTCTGTGTTGAATGAAGCTTATCCCTTCCAACGGACACTTCCTTAATGCTTTGTTAACAGAATATTAATCCTAACCACCAAATGTTTTTCTCCTCTTTATATACTCTAAAGACTCCTATTTCTGTTCTTTCAATTCAAAAGCCAGATATCGTATCTCCTTCTTTTTCATCTTTTTCCGATCAAACCCTAACCATGGATCACTCTTCAGGAAAAGAAAATGAGCGCAAGAAGTTGACGAGTTCAGAAAAAGAATTCGATTTTTCATCTCTCTCCCTACCCTTCAATCCACCCCAACCCCAACCCCAACCAATACTCGCTCCGTGCGCGTCAACTTTGACATCCATCGATCTCAACTCCAAACCAAAAGACGACTTAGACACCGTTACTGTTACATCTCTTTCTCGTCCCAATCGCCGTCGTCCGTCTCGAGGGCCAGGCGAAGGAAAAAGCACGACCGTCCCTCCACCTTTCCCTTGGGCCACAAACCACCGAGCCACCGTGTACGACCGCACCCACCTCTTGAAAAACAATATTCGTACCATCACGGGAATGGTGCAGTGCAAGAGTTGCTATAAGAAGTTCGAGATGGGGTTTGATTTGGAGGAGAAATTCACTGCACTGTGCATCTTCATTCAGAAGAACAAAGCCACCATGCACGATAGGGCACCCAAGGTCTGGGTTCATCCCGTCTTACCCATGTGTCAGTATTGCGGGCAAGAAAATTGCGTAAAGCCCTTCCTTGGAAACACCAAGAAGAAGGCCATTAATTGGCTCTTCTTGCTGCTGGGTCAAATGCTCGGTTGCTGCACTCTAAATCAGTTGAAATATTTCTGCAAGCACACCAAAAACCATCGAACTGGTGCCAAAGATCGTGTTCTTTATTCTACCTATATGGGTCTCTTCAAGCAGCTTGTTCCTGAATGGTCGCTCTCATGATTTAGCCAAAAATAAATACAAGATATGTCTTGTTAGGTGCATGCATGCATGCTTCTTAGGTTTTCTTGGTTTAAGTCACTTCTTTTATGATGTCTACTGATTCATTCTGGAATTTGCATGTTGGTTTAATTTCTATTTTGTGGTACCCTTGTTTATATTTCTGAATAATAAAAGTAATTTATTGAAATAGCTGGCTTTATCTCATTGTTGCCACTTTACTGTTATCTGTTTGTTTCTTGCTGGTGTGTTAGTAAGTGTTTGTTATTATAATTTTAACTTGTGTATATGTCTATTCTTGGTAGATTGTGGCTAGGTTAGTTTGTGAACAGATACTTGCATGTTTAGTTAAAACAGACCCTTTGTCAATAAAGTTAGTAAATTTACCCGGACATAGTTAAAATAGACCGATTAATATTAATTTTATATTAATAGGTGATAAATTTAATAGTTTAGTTTAAAAATGGTAATATTCTTTAATTTTTAAAATATTAGATAAATCAAATATCTTAATCTAAAGAAGTTATATAATATCTACATTAACTATAGGTGTGAAGTAAACTTAAATATCGTTCTACATATCTTGTCATTTATTTTTTATTGTTCAATTCTTTAACAACATAAAAGAAACAAAAGCTCTACCCTTCTCTATTTATCCAAGTGATGGAAAGGCAGTGTGACCTTTGGTCTGTAGGAGAAATTCAAGTACAAATTTTAAATGAATAAGTAACTGACACGAGCTTTTCTGTTTAGACATATGGGCATGTTTGGAAGGGGGACATATTTCGTAATTAATGTTTGTTTCGGGTGAACCCCTGGTGGTGTCTATTGTTTGCGATTCCGTGATGATCATTCCACTTATGTCGGTTGTATTACACTAATACCTTAACATGTTAATTTTTTTAAATAAATAATAAAATTAATAGTTTAAATAAAAAAATATTGAAATATTTGTAAAAATTTAATGAAATTCTCAAATTCCCTTTTAATTGAAAATAAAATTAAAATTTTCTTTTAAATTTTATTCAAATTTAAATGATATTAATTTAAATTATTTTATTAATTTAATATATTATATATTTAAATATATATTTAAAACTCTAAAATATATTTTGAATTAAAAAATTATACTTACATGATAAAAAATTTAGAAAAATTCATTATCAAATGTTAAAGATAAGAAAAAGAATATTGATTAAACCCTAAGAAAGTATCTTTACAAAAATATAATGAAATTTCTAATTTATCTTTTAATTAAAAATAAAATTATATCTTTATTTTAAGTTCTATTCAAATTTAAATGGTATTTATTTAAATTATTTTATTAATTAATTTAATATATTATATATTTAAATATGTTTTTTAACTACTAAAATATACTTTAAATTAAAAAATTACACTTATATAATTATTATTTTACATTGTATATTATTAAATTAATTTTTTTTATAAAAAGACAAATAAATTATAATAAGATATATAAAATTTTTGATGTCAAAGAATAAAGATAAATTTGATCTTCGATGAAAAATATTATTTTATGTTACAACTATTATAAAAGAATTAAACTATAATAATAACATAATTTCTTAACATATTTTTGAGTCTATGAACTTTGAATATATCTATTTATTACACCATATATTTTAAGTTAAGTTTAAATATGTCATTTTAAAATTATAAATAAATAATTTTATTATAATATTTACTTTAATTTGTTTAGAAAGTGAAAATTAGACTCCATCTAAAACTTTACTTGAGTACATATCAATTTGCATCTATCACAGTAAATATCATTTTTGATTAAAAATTTTTTTTATTATATTTTTAGCCATTAGTTTATTTTTTTTTATGTATTTTTCAATTTTTATATATAATAGTTCTGTAAACTAATATTTTTCTATAATAATAATAAAAATAATATACTTTTTATAATATAATAATATTTTAATGCACTTATATTAAAGTTATATTTATATATTCTTAAAATAACTTTAAACCTAATAAATAATATACATTCTTTTACTTGTTTTTTGTTTTTAAAATATGATCTCTTCTTTTAATAATTATATAGTAAAAAAATTTATTAATAATTTTCAATTATAATTAGAAAAGAACAATATATTATTTAAATTTAATTTAATAAATATAAATAAATACATAAGTAAAATTTTAAAAAATATTTTATTTAAATTTTATAACTCATATTACAAATTTTTTATATATTTAATAAATTATTGTTCTAATTATTTTTTAATTTTATAACAATAAATAATTTTATGAGATTGTCAAATTTTAAAAAAATAAAAAATATATAAAATTTATAAAAAAATTATATATAAAGAAGTATTTCTTTCAATGTGATTATATTTAATATAATAAATTTTTATTATTATATATTATATTTAAATTATATATTTTTATTTTAAAAAATAAATTTAATAAAAAATAAAATAAATCTCTCACAAAGACATATTTATTTGTAAGATTAACAATATAAAATTGTTAACGATTATTTTAATATATATAATTTATTAGGATAAATTTTTTTAATATTTTTTAATCTTAATAATGTTATTAAATTAATATTTAAATACTGATAGATTTATGTTTATTTTAGAGATAAAACTTAGATAATGTTAGTTGTGTGTTTTTAGTATAATAAAATTTTATTTTAATAAAAATTTATATTTAATATTATAATATTCTTTTTTATTTATAAAAATAATTATTAAATTTTTATATTCTTATTTATTATAAAAATTATGTTAACAAAAAATTTCACTTTTTATTCATAAAAATTGATAAATACATTTTTAATATATTATACTCTAATTTGATTATTGATTATTATAAATATTTTTAAAAAGATATAGATTTATGACATATAATTATTTTTCTATTAATAAATTAAATATTTATTTTCTATAAATAAAATTGAAAGTAGTATATTATTAAAGTAAAAATATAATTTTTAATTAATAAATCATATTAACGATATCTAATTATTGTACCTAAATTTTGTATTTGTGTGAAATATTTATAATCATAGTTATGCATTTATAATGTAATAAAATATTATTATTATTATATATATATATATATTATATTTAACATTTATATTTTTATTTTAAAATAAATTAATTTAAGAAAAAATAAAATAAATATGTACGTTGCATAGGCATATGTAGTATGGTATTATTTTCTTTTACTTTATTTGCTACCGTGGAAATGTTCAATCAGCTGCAGTAATTTATTTTTATCATGAATAGTAACTGGACAAACTGGGAGAAAAAATGTCAGGGTTTTTATTTTTAAATAAAATCTATATAATGAAAAATAATATTTAAAAATATTTTTAATAAAAATATTACAGTAATTTTGTATGATTATTATAAATTATTTTTATTTTCTTTTTCGTCTATTCAGACAAACAAAATAAAAATTTTAATATTCTTAGTTCTATCCATTCCATCAACCTATTTTTCATTCTTCATTTTAACCACCTATTTCTTTAATAATATTTCCTTCGTTACCTATTTCATCTATCGTCCAACTTATAATCGAGTATTATATACTCAGAATCATGTTATTAACACCATTGTTTTGAATACTACAGAACTATAGGAATACTCTTTGAATTGGAGCATTTAAAAGGGTTGACACACAGACTTTTCATTCTGTGAGAAAGATATTAGGAGAGAAACACAACACAGGCAAGAGGACTTGAACCAATCGTGGTTCTTGTGACAGATTCTGTGGCGGGTAACTTGTTTTCTTTCTTGTTTTCCTTTATTTTCAGTGGCATTAGAAATTGTGAGGTTTTGTTTTGTATATCTTATTTAACCATTTGGAAGATATCGTGACATCAAGGGTTATAATGAATAATGAATGTGCTTTCTCATTCCCATGCACAACATCTGTTTGATAAAAATATTTGTCATCTGTAGTGTTCCTTTGCTATTATGGTTGAAAAATACTGAGTTTCCTTAGTTACAGATGAATAACGGAATGATGTAGTTATTTTTTCCTTTCCACGTGTGTAGTTTGAATGGGAAATGCAAACTAATTGATTGAGTATTTCAAAGATTGTCGTTGAAGCACGAGAATCATTGACCCTTTGTATGCTGTTGAGGAGATTGTCTGATTAGCTTTTTGGTGAATGATGTGAGTGTAGGGAGATTTCTAACTTCTGAATCATGATTTTAACCTGATTGGGGTACTAATGTACCCATCCAATACGTTGTAATATTATGGGAATAAGTGTAGTATAGTGGGTCAAAAGACCTACGCTTATGAATGCATGCAATCATTTTTTTTTTCAAATAAAAAATCTATTCACCATTCTTTCTTTACTTTTAATAGATTCTTTGCACCATATTTCTTCTTTTTGCTCATGAATATACAATAACAACCAAGCTTTATTTCACTAGGTTAGGTTGACTACATGAATCACACGATGTCATTTAGCTTCATCAAAAACCAAATTTCTAAAAGCCCGGTTAATCCAAATCTCTTTTAATAATTTCCTCTAGAGTTCTTTTGGGTTTACCTTGACCATTTTCTTAATTTTATTCTCCCTTGCTCATAGATGGCTTTAGTCCATTTTCTTGGCTCTATCGGGCCAGTCCTGGACTTCCTTTTTGCATTAGGCGGTTTAGCAAATCGGGTTTCCATTTTCGAAAGAAGGAGTTCATAGTTAGGATGCCCAGAATACCCAGTGATAGAATCCACAGCTTTACCACTAAGAGTCATGCAATCCACTCTCCTTTTTTCCTTTTGCTTGTGAATATAAAAATAATTAATCAAAAAAGTATTTCTTTTGACTATTTAATGAATTTTTTACCTTTAGCTTCCACTTTTTGCCGTAAATATTATTTTTGATAAATAATAAAAATTAAGTGGATAAAACTTTTCTTTTTCTTTTATAAAAAATCAATTGGAAATTTTTTCTTTTTCTAGTGAGTTCTTAAATTTTTATTTTGTTGTAAATAGTTGTTTGTGGAAAGTATTTGTAAGATAATTACTTGCTTGTAAATATCCATGTTCATCTATTATTGACCCACACAATTAATTCAGGGTTGTTGAAGGACATAGTTTCTACTTTCTACCATTCTATCATGCGATTGATTCCTAAACCTTGCTTGGTTTTTGACAACCATTTCTCTAATTTTATGTTTTCCATTTTTCTTAAATTAAATAACATTGGTGATGACTTCCTATATTTTTTATTTAAGAATTCAATTCTGTTAGATAACAGTTAGAGATTAGATAATAATCAAGGATATGAATAGATATGCAACTGTAAATTAGGGATTTAATTGATTCCTTTGTAAATATGATTGATCCTGTTGTACCTCATTGTATTATTATAAATACAGCCCATGTGTGATCATATAACACACAACATTCAGAAATTCCTTCTCCTATACGGTATCAGTAGTCTTTTGGTTCCTCACACACACACACACACACTGTTTCTCTTTCTTTATTTTTTGTGTGCATGCTGTTCGTGGTGGCAAAAATCTGTGGATGATTTGAAGTTGTTCAGAATCTAATCAGTTGCATGCATGCGAATCATATGATTTAATTTTGTTTTGATATTAAGCTTTGCTGATTGTGGTTGTGGTTATGATTGTTATTTTTTGTTGTCCCATGACTTCAACTCATAATTCAGGTAACATGTCAGAGAATCCACTACAGGCCTTGTTCCGTAACTTGGAGCAAGTCTCAAATTTTGTTCAACATCATCTCTGTAATTTGAGTGGCCTTCATCTTCAGTCATCAGGACCCCCTGATAGAGGCTCTATGTTCTCTGTCTCTTCTTCTACCAAAGTCCCACTTGTGAAAACTACATCTTCTGTACAACCTGGTGATACCGCTATCAAGGTATTTATGTTATCAATGGCATGCAACCTAACCTGTCAAAACTTTTATTAAAATGTATGTTGTAATTCTTGCCATTTGCTGTGATGAAGTTGAAAATTTGTCTGTTATAATTATAATTATACATTAGATCTCTTTGTCTCCTTTTTTATAAATGGAAAGGACAAAAATTCTAATAGAAGAATGAGTCAAATTGTTTCCTGGGAAGACTATGGTGAGACACGCACATTATGACTTTAGGGCTTTCTTTTCTTAATAAACAAATTTATTTTGCAAATTTGCAAGGTTTATCTCAAGGTACTCTTGTATTGACTGCCTGATTATTGGATCTATTAAGAAATTTAGGCGTAACTCACTTTCAAAAGCTAACTTATAGAAGGAGAACTACCCTAACCCTTATAAGGAGTATTGTAACTTTATTCTTAACCAAGGTGGGACATCTTAACACACCTCCCTCACGCTTAGGATTGAACATTTGGTGTGAAAAATTTGCAGGACTGGACATCTGTGGGCAGCCTAACATTCAAATTGAATTGGCTCTCATACCATGTAGAGAAAAGTGAACAAGAAACATAGGAAGAATATGTGTGTTTTGACTATACACTGGAAAATATATTTATAATAGGAATTATTGATACAAAATAAGAAATTACTATAATTATAAAGATACCAAAATAGTCAATCCCAGATAGCGCGCGGAGTGGCCAACCTCACAAATGCTATAGCAGGGATAGCGGTAGCGGGATGGCCACTATTCTGAAGTTTTAATACACACACATATATGCTGAAAAATATAAAATTAATATACAAATTTGGAACAAAACAAAAGAGGAAAACTCAAATTAGAGAAGGAAATAAATAACAAAAAGCAAAACGCGCAGAAGCAGCCATTGCTTCTACTTGAAGCTTTGAAATTTCAAACAGAACAAAGTAGGGGGATCAAAACAGAGAAGGAAATAAAAAAACAGAGAAGAAAAATAGAAAAAAAAAGGGATCAATCATCGGAAAATGTGCAGTTCGTTGGAAAGTTTGCCAGAGATGGAGAAGATGACCGGAAAGTGTTTGGGTGATGTTGAAAGCTTTGCTGACCTTGAAGAAAATGACCCAAAATAATCTGGGTCACATTAGAGCCTTCAATGGAGATGAAGAAGATGACTGGAAAACATCCCTTTCTTGTTAGAAGCCTCGTCGGAGATGAAGGCCACACTCAAGCGGTGGAAACAGAGAGAAAAGAGAAGAAATGAAAGGAGAAATGAGAGGAGAACTGAGGAGAGAGTTGAAAGGTGAGTTGAGGGGTTAGGGTTTGTGAGAGGGAGAGAAAAGATTCCAAAAATAAAGGGGGCCGAAATCTCAATATTGCGCCCCCCTTAAAAGCCCTCAATGTTAAAAAAACAAAGGGCAGATTTGCAATTTTTAGGGAGAACAGCATAGCGGCTGCTACATTCGCGATTTTCAGCCGCTATTTGTGGTGTGGCAGCTGCGTCACTGAACTGCGACGCTATTGATAACTATGAAAGATACTAATTTTCCTATTTATAACATTACTATAATTACATAATTCCAAAAGGACCCTTTCTTTTTTGCTAGTTAGGAAATGCATTTTTCATTTTTTATTTGGGAGGGTGTGAGTGGAGGAGGGAAGGTAGAAAACACAACTCCAAACTTATGGTTACTATTTTTTGTGATGATATAGGAAGTTTATATCCTATTTACATTGGTACAGTATGCTGTATTCTATCTCTAAAACGAGAGAAAAACCAAAGAACACATGAGCCTTTCATTTATTTTCCTTTTTTGTTTGCTTTTTGATTTGTTTATTTGTATTATAAACTTTACTTAATCTGTTGTCATGAGTAGAGCTTTCTCTAGTGAAGAATATTTGGATGGCTACAGTTGAGGAAAGGACAATGCAGCAGCACATATTGTAGAATTGCCACTTGTGTAGATGTCTTAAAGTTGGCTTAAATATGAAAAAAATCCTTATATTTGAGTGCTTTTTTGTTTTTGATCCTTCCGAACAATTTTCTTTGGTTTTGGTCCTACATTTTTGCAAATTTTTTATTTTAGTCCCTTTTGTTGAAGTGGGTCACTTAGAGGCTGCTACATATCAATTTTTTATCAGACCATGTCAGTGACAAGGAGAAAAACCAAAAATTTGTGAAAATGTAGGGACCAAAACCAAAGAAAAAAGTTTGGCGAGATAAAAAATGGAAAGCAATCAAATGTAGGGACCAATTTCATATTTACACACTCAAATGTTAGGATCCAATTGCAAGTTATGGCACTTGAGTCCCACATTGGAAGTATGAGATTTAAGTGTCCGGTTTATAAGGCCTTGCGCTCTCTAACTGCAAAGACTAGCTTTTGTGGTATGGTTCTCCCAAGGTTCTTATCATAATATATGAAAATTTAGTGATTATTTGCAATCCTGTTGGAGTAATTGTCAAATCAAATAAATTATTCATCAAGGATTCAGATGTAAAGTGTACCTTTATGCATTTGAAATGTCATGATTGATTTATTTTTCATCTTCATTTTGTTTCTGTAGGGAAAGTATACTGCTCCAGTATCTAAAGAAGAGCTTGGAAGGGCTACTTGGACTTTTCTTCACACTCTTGCTGCTCAGGTATTGTCACTCCAATTTGGGCTGATGCTATTGATTCCTCCATTTTCTTTTCTTTATCTAGTTTTGTCATGTGCACAAGTTGTCCGCGGTTGCATAATTATTGAATTATTTTCTATGAGGAGACAGATGCTCTGGTGAGTGCTGACCAGTTTCTCACATGGTTAATCATTAATAATGATTAACCCATGGATATGGAGTATCCATGAATAATGAGATTCACCATTAAAAACTGTATCGGGAGCCATTTCTCTCATTATCATGGTGTTCTACCTGCCATACTGAAATTTCAACATAGTTATCTTCCAACTTTCTGTTTCCATGCATTCCAGAACCAAGGTAATGGATTACTCTTGGAAAGCCAATTGATAAACCAATAAAATATAATGCTGAACACAGATATCACATACAATACAGCAATACACTTGCTGGCCCCAAGACAAAAGTCTCCTACAGAGAGTGCTCTCTGTCCATAAACTGCTAATAACAACTTCTCCTAATTACACACACTACTATAAAATATACCCTAATAAATAACTGTTATTCGTTATCTTCTGTGAATGTTACACTGGTATAGGAACAAATGATAAAAGGCTCAAATTTTTGCAAGAAAACTGATTCTCAGGGATGAACTCAATGTGATAACAACCTGAGATACAAGATGATAAATCTTGGAGAAATTCTAGACTCTCTGAACTCCTCACTAACAGATCTTTTCTTTCCAAAAGTTCCCCTTCCTAACAATCAGCTTTAGTATGCAATTGGGCCTAACATGCCCCTGGCCCAGCCCTTGTTCTTTCTTTATTTGCCGAACATAGACCTGCTTAACTAAAGGTCTCCAATCAATGAAACTATCATCAAGGCATTTTCTAATTCCAATACAAAATAACCAATGCAGGATAAGTTATTTAATAATATATTACTACTAATTTCTATCGTAACTGGCAAGTTGGCAACACGTTAATTAATATTATGCATATATCTAATATACATGACTGCTTATGACAGTAATTATCAATTCCCATCAACTACTAGTTCTTCTGTGTTACTGGCTTTGAAGTTATCAACTCTTTACAAGCTGTCACTTTCATCTACAATGTAAATTTACTGTGTTAATGTAGTTATATCCCAGTTAATTCACACACAGTAAAATATTAGTTCTCATTGTTTTGCATGTTTGGACCTCAGGATGTTCAGAAAAGAAAAAGATTGTCAATCTTTTTCTGTGGTAATGAAGTTTGAAAAACTTTGATGTTTTCAAATATGCAGAGTTCTGAATGACAGTTTCTCTTTTCAGTATCCAGATAATCCTACAAGACAACAGAAAAAGGATGTAAAAGTTCTGGTATCTTCCTTCCTTCCTTTAACCCTTGTTGTAAATGATATAATTTCAGCTATCAGGAGTCAGAACATGCTGTGGTCTTTTTGAGTGTCTCTGTTGTAATTGGTAGGGGAAATCTTTTCAGTTATATTTATGCCGTGGTCTTGTGTTGCAAACCAATAATGCCATATATTATTGATAAGACTAAATAATATATTATGCTGAAAATAAGTGTGTGAGAGAAATTTTTAAGTGGGCTTGTGTTTTGTTCCTGTCCTAAAAAGTAAGATGGAGTCATGTTTTAACCTTATGATTGGGCAAATTCTAACCAGAGATTGACTTTAAGACATAATAAATATTGTCAAAATTTCCATCCGTATGGTAAGAGTAGGGCCATTGAGTTATACCTGTAGATTATGAATAACTTATTTTAGCAGGATGTAATTTCTAATTTGTACACAGGTACAGATCTTATCTCGAATATATCCTTGCAAGGAATGTGCAGATCACTTTAAAGAAATTCTTAGGTATATTAATTTTCTCACTCTTTATCCAGCAATTGATCATATGCTATTAGACTTGTTTATTTGATTTTGTCTTTTTTTCATTTTAATTTTCATTTCTTTAGATTGTCAGACTTCTTAAAAATTTGACTTTTGTATGAATATTGACTTAGCAATGAATTTGGTTGGTTAAAATTGTAAATTCGTAATGGTTGTTTAAGAACTGGATCAAGTGTACAGCAAAAAAATAATTAAATAAATAACAGTGACTGAATCTTGTTCAATTTCTTTGAAAATGAGGAAGAAAATGAATGAGTACAGGAAAGATCTTCAGGATTTCGGTAGCCTGTCCTCTCCCAACCAAGTCCCAACTGTCTAACCAAATGCCCCTCTCCCCTCCTTCCTCCTTATTATTAGCCTCTGCCTATTACATATAACAGATTCAGTTATGCACAACTGTCTCAACTAACTGACTTGACTATCAAGAAGACTGTGAATAAAATCCATTGAAAAAAATATAAAAATTAATATATTTGTTTAAGGTGAATATGATATTATTTTATTTTGTTATAAGATCTTCTTGTAAAGAGACCAAGTACTTACGTTGTAAAGCTGATAGGAACTGAATGAACAAAATGGATTTACAGATAGCTTATAACAGCAAAGAACAAAGAAAACTACTGATAATGAGGTAACCCTCCTCCCTATGGCAGCAGCTACGCCAAATTAACCTCCCAATCACATCCTGCCTTCCCCCCTATGTCCAACCTTCATATTATTCCTCCCTTCCGCTGATTCTCGCCTCTTCCATGCCATCCCTTTCATGCCACATATTCAGTTTGTTAGAATCCTTCATAATGGCCTCTTTGCTTACAGTTCCCATTTTACCCTTATGCTTATTACTCCTTCTCTGATATGTCTTTAACGGGGCCCGATTTGCTTAGACCCATCAAAACAATGCCTCTTAATAGTTTTTTGAACACACACACACATACATGTATGTATGTATGCAGTTTCCTAGTATCCTATGTTTTAGACATTAGCCATGTCAGTGTCTGTCTGTGTCATGTCCCGTGTCTATGTTGGAGTCTGTGCTTCATAGATTTCAGCTCCTTCCCTCAACACAATAGCATGGTCATGTCTCCTTAGTGGTGCTAGGCCTTGTGGTTCTCTGAATACTATGTCATACTCCTCCAAAACCTCCTGAATTTCCTGTGGAATTGTGTCTTTAACTTCAAATTCTTTAACCACCTCCTTACATTCCAAGGAAAACCCTTGACCTTCATCTTGTAGAGCCTTCACGATTGCCTTTAAAGAAGCTGCACTTCTAGTCAATGTTGTTTCTCCTCTCAATACCTTGGTTCCTTCATTAGTCGGTACATTCAAGGTAAGTTCCTTGAAGTTAGCTTTAATTTCCCCCAATCTAGCCAACCACTTCATCCCCAACACCACATTCACACCTCCCAAGTCAAAAACCAAGAAATCTTGCTAAATATTTAACCCCTAAACTTGCAATATCAGTTGATGACAAATTCCTGTACATTTAATCTTCCTTCCATCACCAACCTCTACTGTATAAATCACTCTTTCAGTCATCGATAACTGCTTTTCCATAACCAATGTAAGATAATATGAAATTGTGGGATGCTCCACAATCCACTAATACCACCACCCTTTTTCCTTCTATTTTGCCCCACATTTTAATGGAATTCTTTGAAGTTTAAATCTGGTGATACTAAACATTGATCGTTGTGATGCATTGTTATCCATCTCCTCTGCATCATGGAACTCCCCTTCTTCTCCTTCATCATCGTCCTCATTCAGGATTAGCATCTGAAGCTGCTTTTCTTACATATCTAGGCCCAAACATCTCATCACACCTAAAACCACCCTTTCCTTGACCTTCCTTATAACTCAGTATCGGTTGATTTCTTGAACCCTAAACCCGTTATTCTAACATTATTTTATTCAACCGTAAAATCCCTTGGGTCCCTTGCCTGTTCTGGATTCCTTTCTCCCATCTCCCAAGTTACAGTTCTTGTTGAAGTATAATTTCTGGATGAACCCTCTTTTTTATTCCAAGAAACTCCTTTGCTCAGCAATCAGTTCTTCTCATCTATTCTCTGGGCATGATCCATCAATTCTGGTAGGGTGCCCAATTGGTGTAACTTCAACTCTGCCCAAACCATCTTCATTAACCTGTTCAAGAAGATCCCTCCAAACTTCAAGTATTTCGAATTTATCCCCTTTAACGGTCCTGCATACCACTCAAAATGGTCTTTGTATTCCTCCATCGCCATTGTTTGCTTCAGACCTAGCAGCAAGTTGTATGGGTTCTGCTCCATGGAAGGGTGGAACCTCCTTATTACTGCAGTACAAAAATCTTCTCAATTGGGATACACAAAATTCTCTCAACTGAAACTGTGTCAGCACCTTACCCTCCATTGCCACCATGGCCACTTGCAACCTTTCCCTCTGTATCCCCTTCAAATCAAAGTATTTCTCCACACGATTGACCCATCCATATGCATCATCTCCTGAAAAAATTTCTAATTTCCTTCACCGATCCTCAATTGGTCCACTTCCTGCTTTCGTTCTTTCCACATTTCTTGAGTCTTTGTCAAGATGATTCTCTTGCCTTGGAGTATTTTGATTAAGGCTCTCCAGTACTTCTTCAAAATTTGTCCTTATTTCCTCTCTATCTTCATTAAGTTTCTTCAAGAGGTTTTCTTAACTCCTCTCCAAACCTTCTAATATTGCCTCCATCCTTGTGTGCACCATGAACGATCTCCCATGTTCAAAAGCTTTGATACTAGTTGTAAGAACTGAATCAAATATATAGCCAAAAAAAGAATAACAGTGACTCAATCTTGTTCAATTTCTTTCAAAATGAGGAAGAAGATGAATGAGTACAAGAAAAAGCTTCAGGATTTCAAGAGCTTGTCCTCTCCCAGCCAAGTCCCAACTGCCAAACCAAATGCCCCTATCCTCCTTCCTCGTTATTATTAGCCTCTGCATATTACATTTAAAAGATTCAATTATGTAAAACTAACAGATTCAGTTATGACAACTGTCTCAACTATTCTAATCCATAGGTCTCTGGTCCATTTCTTCCCTTTTTCCCCTTCTAGTGTAAACCTTCCCAATTGGGGGTCTGTTACTAATTGTTAATAAATCTACTAGAGGTTTGACCATTGGCTGTTGTTCATGGGTGTTAAGTTTCCTGTGTCTCATAGATAGCATTTTTGGACCGCGAACAATTAATTCATATTTCTTTTCTGTGCTTCGCCTTTTAAAGTTTGGTTATTGCCTTGAGCTAAGGGAACAAAATCTAGGAAGTCCACTATATGGGCCATAAACTTTTTCTTATGTCATCAATTCTTTCCTGTAATTTTCCTGAAGTATAATTTAGTCTTCACATTTTTGTTTTCTGACAAGGTTCTTTTTGAACATTTCGAAGTAGTAAGATATGATGAGAGCGCACATCATTTGTCATATGCAAGCAAATTCATGTCTTTGGTACAAGAGGATAGCCCCACATCTTCATCCATCTGTAACTATATCCAAATTCCCACATATTGTCTCTATTTGCAAACATTAAGGAGCTTTGTCGACTATAATGCCATTTATAAATATGATCTGATCTGGCATAGAGGCCAAACTGCTCTAATACCATGTTTTGACCTTACTCATCTCCAACTTTCTGCTAAAGGAGCTCGTATCGTATGGATCTTCAATATTAGCATGTTTCAAAGACACATGCTACTTAATGAATTATTTATCTGCTCTAGTTTTCACATGTTGTAGTATCTGCTCTAGTTTTCACATGTTGTAGTACCATTTTAGTCTTCCAAAATTTCTGTTCTACGCCACCTCTTTTACTTAAGATCTTCTTTACATGTTTGGCAGAGCAAATCCTGTACAGACTGGGTCACATGCTGAATTTTCTCAGTGGTTATGTCATGTGCACAATGTTGTTAATAGAAGGTAAGTTCTGCCCACTATGGTCTCTAAGATGTTATCATAACTATAATCCCTGCATCATTTAACAAATATTTTAAATGATCTTTGTTCATGGGGTTTGTCACTGTATACCACTTTTAGTGTATTAGTTGGTTTGTTCTGTTAAACTTGTGGTCTGTTTTTCCAGTGTATAAACAAAACATCTATCTTTCTCAAAAAAAGGGGAAATATGGAGTTTACAAATGCACCAAACTTTTAATCCATTAAAAGTTGCCAGGTGTACAACAATTTTCTTGTGGCTAAAGAAGTTCTTATGTTTATACTTAAAGTGTCCCTTTTAATAAATAGCTTAAAAATTGACACACTTGGTCAAATTTTTGGCTTCATTTTCTGTTCTACTTGTAATCATAAAATCATGCATGAGTCTCAACCTAACAAATTAAGCTTGCTGAGAGTCAGTTTTGACATGGTAGGCGAGTCTCTTTGAAAAATTAGTTATAGGAGTTTGATCCTTACCGGCTTGATTTTGTAAACAAAGTTGAATGTCAACAAGGTAAAATGGATTTGTGCATTGTGCATCAAACCCTAAAGGCTCTTGAGGGTGTAAGTTTGATATTTTTAAAACCATCCATGGGCCTCTGCTTAAGAACTTTGTTGGTCCTATGATAATTTATACTGAATCAACCGCTACTTTCATCCTTAGCAAACTAACTAGTGTAAGTTCCATAATTCCAAATTCGCATGACACTTGATATTCTTTTTAAACAGCCTTGACAAACCAATATTCCCCTGTGAACGAGTTGATGCAAGGTGGGGCAAAATGGAGTGTGAACAGAAAGCATGTGAAATTATTGGAAGTACTACCAGTTTTGGGAACATATAGTTGAAATTTATTTAAAAATGATAGCTTTGCTATATTAGGTACGTGTTAAATTTGGATCTTTTGAAAAATGTTTTAGATAATCTTAGTGCTATCTTGTGGCTTTGCACCACAATATATGATTGAATTTTATTTACAATATCCATAACTGGATTTATTTTGATATATGAAATCTTAAGCCTGGATTGTTTTTCCAAAGCTCGTCAAATCTTTACATGAATTATTCTATCTCGCTACTGTGTTGTGAATTATACTATTTGTTTATGTACTGTTGGTAACTTCATTTGAATTACCAAATTTCTTTAATTTGCCATGCATTTTCCTTTATTGAATAATCTGAGCTGAATTGCCTAAAGTTCATAATTATGATTATGGTCTAACGTCTCATGTAGTAGTTTGAATGGTTCCCTGACCGTCAATGTCACCAGATAATGCTTTTCTCTGCCTTTTAAGGGAGAAAAGAAGGAATGAGTAATATAATCAGGAGATTAGACTGCATTTAGCTTCGAATTATACATTTTGATGATTACCAATCTCGCAAGTCATATATTTTCATGCATGGGCTACATAAACATACAAGTTATAGTTTTGCTGGATCTCATCGCCACTATTAATCCCCTCCAAAATTACATAAGGTAAGGAAATATGAACCTTCAGTTTGATTGTCTCCCTCGCCGAAAAGATTGGATAATGATTATATGTAGAAGTGGAGCCTCACCCAATTTCAATATATAAAATAACTCCAATAATCAATGGTTGACTTCCTGGTATCGACATAAATGGTCCAATCAGCATTAGCATAAACAGATATATTTAAGGAAGGAATTTGACAGAAGAAGAGGAAGAATGAGATAAGAATAGGAGTCCTCGTAGGGCGGTTTAAGAAATTCTAACACTGTTTGGGTAATTGAAGAATTATAAAAGAAATAAATGAAAGAGAAGAAAAATGATTAAGTTATTTGGTTCAAGAGAAAAAAGGAGATAGAAGAGAGAAAATTTGAGATCTTTCTGCTTGTTTGGTTAACATAGAAAAGTAAGAAGAAAGAAAGTTTCTTTTGTGTAAAACATATATATCCTTTCATTTTCATATTATTAAAAATATATTATGCAAAAAAGTCATTTCATTTAATTATAATATATAAATTATTATTACTCGTACTCTTCCGTTATCTTGGTTCATGAGATGAGAAATTTATGCACAAAATTCAATACATTATTTTCTTTATTGATTTTTTCTCATGCTAACCACCAAACTAAGAAAAAACTATTTCTTAGCTATTTCTTCCTTGCTTGGGTACCAAACAAAGCTTAATTGCATGCCTTGCTGTTGGAGGTACCTGAAATGGACGTTTTCCCAGAAGCTCTCTAAGACATGCTTCTATGTTTAACGAAAAATCAAAACACACGTTGAGTACCTTCGCTAACGGAGAACAACATCAATATAATTTAAGATGGAGACAAATTTAAAACAAACTTAATTTGTTTATAGTGCAATATGAGTAGTAGAGACAATTAGATTCAGACTTAATTGATGCCTACAAGAAATACTTGTAAAATGTAAGATTTTTACTGATAAGTTCGAGTTTGATTTAGGTAATTACTTGTAAAAATTTGCTAGCAGGAGTATTATATAATAGTCAATGTATTCCAGATTTGCACTCGTGCACTTATATAATTAGTTTTTATTAAAAAATTTATTTTAATAGTTTATATAAAAATATATATCCAAATATTTTATTTAATTTTAGATAATGAATCCAGATGAGTATAAATACCCAGAGTATGAACAGACATCAAAATTAAGTAGTCTTTGCGAGTATAGATCCAAATACAAGCCTTCTTTTCTTAAAAAAAGAAAATACTGGTATAGGTACAAATCAAAATTAATTCATTAAAATATGAAGAATACAAATTCAAACAATTTCATTTTGTATGCTTAGAAGCAACATCAAGTTGAATAATAATAAAAAAAATCTTTCTTAAAGAATTGTCCGTTTCTAAATCTTCACTAGAAAGCTCTAAATGTGATTGTGTTTAGATTGATTTATTTTTAGAGACAATTTCAATAATCAAATATAATCGATGATATAAATTTTATATTTAAAAACATTAAGATTTCATTTTAATTGTCTAAAATAATCAATTTTTATAGTAAAATTGCAGAAAAAATATATTTATAATAGTTTTATATTTAAATTAATTAATAATGGAGATAAAATATAAAAATAAAAGTTAACTAAAAACTAGTGTTATTTTTTCAAGTCATAGTTTCCAGACTGCTTGTCATAAGACTTCGTATGTTCAGATTATAATCTAAATTATCAAATCCATTTAAACAGTAACCTTAACTTTTTTATCAATCAAATTATGTAAGAAAAAATTTCATCCAATAGATGCTGTCAACAAATCCAAACACAGCAATAATTAGTTTGGTTAATGACATACGTTACCAGCTTCCCATAAATTACAAACGACTATATTGTTTTCGGTCAGTGCTCGGTAGTCGGTATGATTGTCATGTAGCAAACATTATCCACCTTGGATTAAAATTTATATAGATGGTAAATTCAGGTACCTTCCACTTTGGATTTGTTATTTTCTTGAGAAATATCGTGCATTCAAGCGTGCCCAAAACCCTAACTTCAGTAGTCCACGGAGCTGGGAGCAGAATTGAACACTCCATTTCCGGAATATCTTGGGGACCCCGAGGACCGAAAAATAGTTACCAGAATCTAATGTTTTCAACCGTTGCTAAGATATTGATTACAATATGAAATGATTCACGGTATGTATAGCATGCCGGACCAATAATGCTTATTGGTAAGGTGCCCAATCTAAACTCAAGATACAACTTCAATAATAGGTAGGAGGATGTGAAAACAAATAAAGATGTAAAAACAAAAAATAGAAACAACGCAAGTTTTCTTCTCCACCTCACAAAAATGGTTCCCAACAATTGTCTCCCTTCCCACATTTCTAAATGCATCTCAGGTTTTTATAGCAAGTGATTCTTGTGGTCTGTCTCTTATCAGTGTTCAACTCAGAAGGGGGGCAGGAGGGACATCAAGGGTGATTCCTGCTTGGATTTGACCCCACCCAATAAGACGCCAATGCTTCTCAACACGTCGACTAAGTGCAATCTTCTCACCCTTGCTAGTGCACACGGGTGAAGTAAGTTGCAACTTTGCCAAGTCGTTCTTCACAGCAATTACTCTGGCCCCTGTTGACATTGATCCTATGTTCAACATTAGCATCTCTCCTTTGGCCAGCTTAGATACCTTCCCCTGTCGCTCAGAGCCTTTTGTTCGGACACCAAGAAGTCGTCGAAGCAAGAAAAAATTTACCTGCAACACCAAATGCAGAATTCATCTCTCAATAAAGAATTTCCAGCTCAACGGGGGAACTGAATCTCATCTTTTGAGTCCTGACAAAATAAAGTTACACACAAGATTGGGAAGCAAAAGTAATGAAGATAATTTATAAAGTAGGCTCTTTATCACCACCCATCTTAGGAATGGCAAAATATAGAAAGTTGAATGATAACTCAAATTCATGGCAAGCGAGCATAAAATGATACACTTAGGCGTAGCCACCTACCTCAAGTTCCACAAAAACCTCGGGTAGTGATCCAACTTCTCCAAGAACTTGACCAACCAACCTATCAGCACGTGTCAAAGTGGGATCCATAGTTGTCCCAACACCAATTAGGCCTCCAGGCACAGCAAATTGAAGCTCATTTTGTTCAGCATACAATGAAACTATTCTGGAGTATATGGGTGTGCATCTGATATTTCCACTCTCATCTTTAACAACAATCCCAGGTCGAACTTCGATGAATTGGTTGACCTTCAAAACACCCTGTAAAGAATAAATTGTCAGATGCGTTTCAAAAGAACATGTCAATGTATCTGATCCCAGACTCAGCCTGGGATCAATGGGTCCATGGTATCTAGAGGCCATGTAAAATTCATCATAACAAGCTCAACTTGGATGCAAAATACAACACCAAGTGGATTCCTATATTCTGGTTTGGAAATAGAATAGCATAGTCCTCCAAGTTTGGAAAAGTGCATGCACAAAAAAGCTTCTAAAAAAAAAGTGCAACAAATTAGAAGGCCTCTGTGTTTCTCTTTCATTGAGCATTCATGTATCACAGTGGACACCTTGGCAATATTTGGATAACACTTTGCAATTTTAGCATAGATTATACATTTTAAAACTAAGCATTATACAAGTTAAGGGAGATATCATTCCAAACATTATTAGGAATACTAACATCTGTGTGTCAGGTCAGTGCAAAATCATGATACTTGAGAAATTGACCAAAAGACTTACCCTTAGAATGCTTCCACCAGCTACACCTCCTTTAATTTCATCAACCTCAAAACCGGGTTTGTTGACATCAAATGACCGAATTACTATCATATTAGGTGGAGAAACAAAGTTCCTTTCAGGGATTGGAATCTTCTTCACAATATACTCACAGACAACATCAATATTATACTTCAACTGTGCTGAAATAGGTACTACTGGTGCACCGTCAGCAACAGTTCCCTGGTAAGTTACAAAAATAGGGAGTAACATGGAAGTTATTGAAAAGGGATTCACTAGTATAAAGAAAAACCTCTTATAGAAAAAACTTACTTGAATAAACTTCTGAATTGCTTCATGCTGATTGATTGCCACATTTTCTTGAATCAGGTCTACCTTGTTCTGAAGGATTATTATGTGCTGCAGACGCATAATTTCCACAGCAGCTAAATGCTCAGAGGTTTGTGGCTGTGGGCAGCTTTCATTAGCAGCTATGAGTAGCAAAGCACCATCCATGATTGCTGCTCCATTAAGCATTGTAGCCATGAGAATATCGTGTCCCTACAGAAGTTGTTAGAAACAAACATCATATAGATGTAAAAGCAAGCAAACCAAACAAAATATAGATTCAATTATTTAGCTTTAATTGGTAACCTGTAACTTCTTGGCTTATAAAAAGGATACCCATAGGAGCATGAAAATCCCACACCATATGTAAAAGAGTAAAAGCAAAAAAATGTGAGATAAACTTGGGTGCTCTGTTAGGTAAACCCCCTTGGAATGGTCAGTAAGTTAGTTAGAGTGTGAGGTGATAGGCTATAAATAAGAGGAACTGGAGATTAGTGAGGGTCATCTTTGGTTATGAAGAGGAAATCAGAGGGGGAGAGAAGCAAGTCTCTCAAAGACCTGGAATGTAAGAGTTTTCTGTCAATAAACAATATTACTTAATATTTGAACCAATACTCATAGAACACGAGATTTTTCTTCATACCATAGAATGTATGCCACTTCTATATTCTATATAGCATTTAAAGTGGAAGTATAGATGGTAATGACTCAATAGCTGAAGGGAGTGAGTGTGTGTGTGTGTGTGTGTGTGTGTGTGCACATGCATTCTTGCCTACATATACACACAACAATATCCATAACTTCCTGCCATTTAGAGAATCACAAGAGATTATGCATAAAAAATAAACATGTCTCAACAATATATCTAACCAATGTTGAGGTATATGAAAGTATATCCAATCTAACAACAAACAAAATTATGCATAAAATAGCCCTAAATAACAAATGTATGTTCAGGACTTTACTGGACAATCCACAAAAGAAACATGTCTCAGCAATTTCATCTTGCAGTTTTCAAACCCAGGTACATCACACATAGGACTATCTTCCTTTCCACTTCCGTAAGCCCTGTCAAAAGATTTTGGTCACATCAAAAGTGGAAATAAACTGATATCATAATTGCAAATACAAAATAAATACCCACTTGTAACACATAGGCCTTGGACACCGTTCATCTTCACACTTATATATTTTTGCATTTGCATAGCCAAGCTTGATTGTAATGTTACGCTCCAACTCATTTTTGAAACGCACAGTCTACACAACATTATGGAAAACCAGAGATCAACAGTGTACATATCCAAGGGTATTGAGTAAAATACATCTAACTAGCAATAATCTTTACGATTTATGAAGATTAGCAAATACTTCCTTTCCATTTGAAATAAATCATCTGTGTTTAAATAGGTTCTAGATGAAAAACCTTTCAAGAAGAACATGTGCCAAGAATTACATATATACAGTACATAGTTAAACCACCCTCAACCCAACACACTTAACAAAGTGTACGAAAGATCAAAGACAAAGGAATACCTGAACACCTGATATGGCTTTCACAACTGTTGACTTGCCATGTGCCACATGACCTATGGTGCCTGTCAGGATGCAATTCATTACATCAGCATTAACAGTCACAGATGGAAAAGAAGCTTACACAATGCTTTTGATGAAAAAAAAATGCTTAGGTTCTTGTATGGATGTAGCAAATTTGAAATAAATAAATCATCAAATGTGAGAGGAAATATTACCAATATTAATAGTAGCTTGCCGAGATATGACTTCTGGAGAAAGTGGATGCAATTTTGTCACATCCAACTTACTCAGGTCTTGTTCCATCAAACCCTTCCGCGACATTTTGGCTGCCTCCAACGGAAACTTTAATTGAGTGACAAAACTGATTTATGACTTGACAGCTACACTATCTGCATGTGCATATCACAGGACAAGAAACCTGCATCAGAGTCTACAATTTTTTTTTGCAACAATCTGCATATAAATACATGACACAACCTAATTCTCTACATTTTTTTTTGCAACTAAACCCAATTGTCTTATCCTACCACGAGCCATCATCAGGTAAATATGTATTCCTAATGCAGATTCATAAATACGACCACAAATTAAAAACAATACCTTTTCCAGAATGTCCTAAAATAGACATTGATAACTATTCTGCATTTTTTACTATATTTTTCTAATACAAGACAAGTGCACAGAAACCCCTTCACATTTGACACATTTATAAATAGATTCTTCACCTTTCAGTTTGGGTAGTTAAACCCTTCAACCATAGAAAGTTATAGTAATAAATGGTATATAGGAACTAGCTTTTCTAAATGCAAAGCTCTTGCAAAGTAAACATGAGGTAGATTGCTGGTTAAAAAATTTAAGCTTAGGAATAAGAGTAAAGATGAGCTTACTAACAAAATTAAAGTCTTTTCAAAATTAATGGAAATCAACATACTTCTACATTCTCCTTTAAATAATTTCAATTTCCAGCAGCAATTAAGATATCGAGCAACAACATAGTCTGATAACTGTTTTAACTTTTGATGAAATCATTGTATGACATAGAATCTAACTTGGTGGTAGGCCAGTTCTATCATATCATCTCTTTGGTTTCACTAACAGAAGGTCTCGTTGTAGTCTTATCTCTTAATATTACCTATTCCCACTCCCAGCACCTAAAGACCTTTTAGAAATCAAATGAGCCCACAAAAATAAAAAGAATGTTAATGAAATTGTGCTTGAGCTATAGCCTATGAAGTGCTACCATTGGGAGTTGGACATACGAGGACAAGAAAAATAATACATGAAAATTGTCTATAAAAATCTTTTGACCAAATTATTAACACTTTTTGCCTCCGCAACTGGCAAATAGGTCCCCTAAGATACATTCCACCACTAACCCAAAACTACTAGCTTATGGATAATAATAAGTCAATTAGTGACTTAGGGTGCATTTGGAAGAGCATATGGAGAGCCAATGACTCTCATAAGCTCTTTTCAGCTCATACCAAGAAGTTTCACAGTCAAAGTTATGATATAAACCCCTTAAACAACAAATGCTTATTGAATAAGCATTTAATTAAGTTGTTATCCAAATGCAACCTTGTACCTTTGGATAGGTAGAATCATTTGGAGTGGCATAAATTTTTTTGAAATAACAAAAGAGAGTAGTAGCAAAAAGCGACAATTAGAAAGAGATAAAACGGCCAATCTAACTTCAAAAATTGAAAATCATAAAAAAAAGGGGGACAGATGTGGATATAACTATGAACTAAAGCAGAAACCCTATCATCCCAACGTTTTCATTCAGAACCACATATAGAAACAAAATGCAGAGGAAATTATTACCACTGTACGCAGAATGGAGAAGCATATTCTCAAGCAACTTAGTTTAAAGTCAGGATTTGAACTTTAATCGTAAAGGGGAGTAATCGAATAGTGGGATTTTACAAAACTCATATATATGCATATAAATTCATATACATCCAAATAAAGTGGCACAAATTAACAAAAATAAAACTTAAAATCACTAAAAACACTTAAACAAACTAACGTTCATAAAGAATAACCCATAAACAAACTAACGTTCATAAAGAATAACCCATATTCCATAAGAATGTGATGACAAGCCATAAAGTGTTGAAAAAACTTAACAACTGGAAACACAAATCATCAAATTTTTAACAAGGCATAAAACTTAAACTCCGAATAGAGAAGAGAAGATGCGAGGAAGGTGAAAAAGAAGCACTACACTCGAAGAAGAGCAGAAGATCGCGTTTAGACCAAGTCGCACACCGCTGGCTCAGGCGCAAGCAGTTAGGGTTCGAACGAAGCTGTTTCTTGGAGGCATTTTAAACCGGGTCATCATATCAAATCGGGTCAATCTAACCGGGTCAAATCAAATGGATCAAAATTCAGACCCGAAAATTGAGATTTTATGAGTTTAGGGTAGACTTGTTTTCCTTTTTAAATATATTTTTTAAAAAAAAGAAAAAATATAAAAAATTGTTTATTAATTTAAATCTTAAAAAATTTTAAAATATTTTTTTATTTTTAATCTTTAAATTAAAAATCAAAATTAATTTTAGAGTATTTTTATTTTTCTATTTCTCTTCCCAAAATTAATAATAATTTAATTAAAAATAGTTTTAAATACTAAATTAACAAAAAAAATTATTTTCATTTTTATCTTGAAAACATTTTTATAAAATTATTTTAAAATGTAATTTTTAATACTAAAAAAAACAACCAAGCCCTAATAAAATTTTAAGGATGGTTTATGTAAATTATTTTTTGTCTTTATTTTTTTATTTTAATTACAAAATTATTATTTTATTTTTTTTCCTACTACTTTATGTATCAATCATTAAAAATAAAAATAGGATACTATTTTCATAAATAAAAAACTAAAAAGTATTTTTAAAAATCAAATAGGTTCTTGTTATTCTAAAAAAATATTTTATACTTTAAATCTTGATTTCATAATAATTTATTAGGGAGTGATATTTTAAACAACTTAATTGTTTAATCCTTTTTTATTATAAAATTAATTTTATAATTCAAATTTTGATGTCAATTATCATTAATATAATGAGACATTTTTTATGAGTAGGAAAAGAACAAATTAATTACATAATATACAAAATAATTAAATTATTCTTTATAAAGAATCTATGAGAGGACAAGACAAGATATTTCAAAATAATAAAAGTTAAGTTAGTTTTCAAACCGATTTTAACATGATTATCAGCAATAGTATTAGCAAATTTATAAATATACTTAAGTTGACTATTCAAGGCTTTTGGAGTAATAAATATCAACTCTTCGTATATGTTAAAGCTTGCAAACAAATTTAAGTTGAGCAACTAAACTATATTAAGTGAATCAAATTCACAAAAAATCTTCTTATATCCTTTAGTTCAAGACAAGTGCAAGTCATTCTGAACAGAATTTAACTAAACTAGGAGTATGTTTCTTATACCATAGTGGTCTAAAAAATCAAGTAATCAACATCTTGAATGTAATAGACTGTAGCATTCCATTGTTGTAAAAAGAAGAGTTTCAACTACTATTAACATTGAGTTTAAGTTTATTGTTCATTAGTTACTTTCAAATCTCAAACTTTCTAGTGTTATTTTGAATAGCTTCTTATAGGACAATATTAGCTTCTATAGTCACAATTTGACATTACTTTATAATATAATCAATGTCCTACCTGATTGATTGAGTTTATAGAAAGCTTGTTTCTCTAATGTCAAATTCATCATAGTATTGCACCACAAAGACTACTCATATTAGATGTGAGTAAGCAAGTTACCCATTGTTATGTATCTTTACTAAAGAAGTTTGGCAAATAACAAAAGTTCAATGACCAAACTTCTTGAAGAAATTGACAATCTCATAACATCTACGACAAGAACAAACATAAGTCTTTATCACATTTTTGCTAAATTTAAAATAGTTAGTAGGCAGTACTTTATGCAATAATAGCCAAAGAAATAATTTTAATTTCTTTAAGAATTTTCGCTTCCAACAATAAGACCATATACGATTACATCCTAATTTTTTTTCCTATTAAGTAGTCAAGCATAACCACTAGTTATTGCGAACTTTCTTAAATTCAAACTTCTCCAAAACTTAGTAAAACCATATATGATTATGATCCTAATTTCTTTTTCTTTTGAGCAGTTAAGCATAAACATTAGCTATTGTGGGCCTTCTTGAGTTCAACTTCCCCAAAACTATGTACCTTTTAAGAGTATTCGATTTGAAGATGCTTACTTGACTAAGGAGTATTTGTGTGACATTTTCAGTCAAAGGAGGTACAAGTTCTCTAAGTTTCACATGTCTTTAATTTATATATCCTTTAAGCAGAAATGGATCTAAAATATGAATCACTCCAATTTGTCACAAAGTGGTCCTTCACCTAACCAATTATCATATGTACCAAATAAAATATGACCTTCCTCTATGCGACATGCGATGCCTTCGCATATTGAACAAAATGTTTTCATTATCCTTTTGCAAATGTAAGAACTCATTATGAATGAGTTTGAGTTAGTCATCTCTTGTAAATTATATTTGTACCCAAGAAATTAGGCTCACAAGTTATCATCTAAATGTTCCTATCCAATTTACTTAACAAGGAAATGTTGGTAATATTTGTTTATGTGACATTGAGCCCTCCTGCTTCTTTCTAACATCATGGTATTTCAATTTATGAGGTGTATATTCATTTTTATTTTTTTTTCCAAATAAATTGATAGAATATACATAAATAAAGGCATCAACATATTGATTTAGCTAAGTAAACCCTACCTACCTTATCTAACAAATTGTCCTTCTAAGAATAAAATGTCTCTAAATTTTTTGAATCACATAATGGAAGTTTTCCTTTTTGACTCTTCCTTGGATTAAATCAAATCTAATATATAATCCCAAATCACTTACTAGGAAAATGAAAGACAACCAAGATAATATTTTTATATAATAATTTTTCTAAGTTAACTTGAAGTGTAGATGCTTTGCAAAAATCATTGAGCACATTAGTGACAAAATTAAACTAATGAATTTTTTCTTACAAAATAATAAAATACCAAACAAAAAAGAAAAAGAAAAAGTGAGAGACATAAAGACCTCCTTTCTTAACTCTCACAAGTTACCATTGATGGTCAGTTACTCTTTATTGAATCTCCATTCATTGATAAACACTCAATGCACACAATAAATAGGAATGGTGAGATTGGATCTCCTTGACAAAAATTCCTTGAAGGTCTAAAACTCTATATAGTGAAACCATTCTATCATATGGGGATTTGAATAAATTTAACATAAAATATGATAAGTTTAATGGTAAGATGTGGAAGGCTAATCAAGGTAAATGTTTCTTCCAAGAACTACCACCTTAATTTATCATAAGTTTTTTCTAAGTCAATTTTAAAAATAAAAGAACTTGCTTTACTCTTACTTTTGTGGATGTTATGGAGTATTTCTTGAATGATTAATGCATTGTCAATTATACCACTTTCAAGTAGAAAGATACTCTTGAAAATGATCAATCAAATCATAAAGAAAAGGTCACAACAGTTGCATCAAAACATTTATCATTACTTAGTAAGTCACATTACATAAGCTAATAGACCTAAACTCTTAGAGTGTGTTTGGATAAAATATTTCAAGTGAATAATTAATTTTTTTTAAAGAATTTACAAATTTATATGTTAAAATTTTTTGTTTGTTGATAAGGAATTTTAAATAATTTAAAATTCAACAAATTTGAGTAGAAATTTTTAATAAACTAAAATAAAAAAAATTCCAAATCTTAACAACAAAATGAGAATTTAGAATTAATTTTTATATTTATTATGTGTTTCATTTATATTTTTATTTAGTTATAGTTAATTAAAAAAATTCAAATTTCATATTTTTAATTAATTTTTTCAAATATAGTGATGAATTTATTTTATTTTAAATATTGAGTAGTTAAATTACTCTATCCAAACAAAATATTTTAAAATAATAAAAGTTTAAATGTTGTAATTTATATTTCTTAAAATTTTAAATTTTCTAAAATTTTTACTTACCTCGTCCAAACATAAACTTATAGTTAGAAAAAATTATCAATCTTAAGAATAAGAACAATGACAATCTCAACATGTATATGGTCAAAGATATCTAATTAGAAGCATTTGTCACAAAAATGAAGGTTATCACCTACTAAATTCCAAAGCCTCTTATAAAAGTGGTTAGAAATCATCAAACTTAAAATTTTATAGTTAATTGTACTTATTAAAGCTCTTTACCTTTATTCTTTATCAACTCTTTTTGTCAAAGTTAATTTTTAAAAATATTTTATAAAAGAATATTTTTCATATTTTCTCTTATAAATAAAATAAATTCTTAAAACAATTCTAAGTTCCTAATATATTGATTTATGCAATGTATAAATGAATAAAATGTGAGAATAATAATAATAATAGTTTGTTCATAAAAAATATAAATTAACAATAAAGAAAAACTAAGTTCTATAATTAAAAAGATAATTATATAAAAATTGTAATGTATCTAAAAATCAAATTTTTATATATTTTAAATTTTTTATTTGCTTGTAATGAAAATAATTTTTTTTATATTCATGAAATGAACTATTTATAGTCATTTGACATGTGTATATAAAATTTTGAAATAAAAAAAAACATTTATAATATAACAAAATATTTTTCATTTGTTTAATAGATTTGTGTAACACTCCTAATTTTGTTATTTATTATTATTACTTTATATGTTATTTATGTATGCATGATGTGTAAACTTAGGAGAGTTTAAAGTGTGAGAACTGAAGGAATGAGTTATCTCTTGCTGTATCGAGACAGATCGTTCAAAATCAACCTCTATGAAGCGATCTTGTTGTAGTGAGAAGTGGATAAGACTACCCCAACCACCCCCTCACTGCAGTGAGAAATTTTCACTGTAGCAAAAATATCAGAAAATAGAGAAAAAAACTTTGTTTGATTTTTTCACTATAACAAGAGCATTGCGAGTCTAAGGAGTATTTAAAAGATTTTCAGCATGAAACTTCATTCATCCTTCATTTTTTGCGTCCTCTCTTCACTGTAAACTCTCACTTTTTTTTTAAAGATAAAACCCTTTCAAACTCTAATCTTTCTTCGAATCTGAACTTGGACATCTAATCTAAGTGACTCCAAGTAAGTTTTTCTAAGTTCAATTCTATATTCACCGTTCATTTCTCTTTGTTTCTTATTTCTATCCTATGATATTTAGAAAAACTTATGTTCTTCAAACGATAATCTTCATCAATATCTCTCTAAACCTTCATTTTGTGGTAAAGAGAGC